TTATCATGTTTAATCTTTTAATATCTTTTGAAAGTTTAAATTCATTTTTAAAATTATTTGAAATGATAAGGAAATAACTTTAAAAATGATGAGTTACTAATCGTGTAAAACATTTAACATCAATAAACAAATTTGTTGATTCTAAAACAATAACAATAATAATTTTATCAATCCTCAGCTGATTACTTGATTTTATTCAATAAATGACAAAATTTTACTCAAATTTAAGAATTCTAAAATACAGGTATTCAGTAAGAAAGGAAACAGGTTAATTGTTACAAATAATGAGAACAATAAAAACCCGTTTCCTTACCTACTGAACATTCTTTATGTACATAGTATTTGTGAATATTTTTGGAATAAAATTTTCCGGTAGCATGTACCCGTATGATTGGTTATGACATTATGTAGAAGTTCATAAAGATTTATTAGATAAAATAATGGGTTTCTGGAGAACCCCTGTGGTTAAATTAACCAAATATTTTCTTGATACACATCACCAAAAAGAAACATAATATTTATACTTAATTATGTCGTATCTGTGTGAAAACAGTATCAAGTAAAAAAAAAAAAAATTACATACAAAGTAAACATTAAAAATTTTAGTAATTAATTTTAATCATAATGCAGTAAAACGTTTCTAAAATAAATAATCAGGTGCAAAAAAATCAATTTCTATCTTTGAGCGATTTATCATAAATATTTCTCTTAATTTTTTTTTAATGTTAACGTAATTTTTAGGCAACATATGGTAAAATTTTATTATTTTAGTATTATAACATTATTTTCTTTGTTTTAATGAAAGTAGATAAATAAATTTTACTTTTTGTCGGTTTGACTTTAAATATTTAAATGCTATCATCTCAATACATTTCTAATAAAAGAAGAAGTGGGACGCTTTCATAAAGATTTATTTATATATATATATATAACAATGGTTGGATAATTATTATTGACCAACCATTTTCACATTTGCAAAATGCTAATTATAGTCGTTATTTTAGGTTTAATAAATTTTTAGGCATTTTAGACTTGTCATATTTTAAATATTTCATTACATAAATAAAATTTTAATAAAGGCCTCGCATAGACAAGTTTTTTAAATATTGAACACATTGACGCACTTGACATAATTTATTATTTTGCATCAGTCAAGTGGATATTAAAAGGTAAAAAAAATATAACGCTCTATTATGATCTATCGCATATTGTTTGATATTAAAAAGAGATAGTAAGTGAGAAAATATCATAAGATCCAATTATCTCATGGTGTTAAATTATTCTAGATTTCGCTTTTCGAAAGTTTTTTTAGTATAACCCCTTTGTGCTGACCTAAATGATTTTTCTGCCATTTATCTGAAATAATTATTTCATTAAATTATAATAGAACTGTGTTTAGGAAGACTATTTCAATTGTAACTTAAAAAATTTACACATTTCTTTAATTTTATATAAATAATATTTAAAACCATATTTAGTTATCAAAATATAAGTAAGTTATTTAGATTGTGTTTTATTTTTTTATGCAAAATTACATTATTACAGTAAACATTTTGTGTGCTACAAAAGATAAATACGATAAAATGCTGTATGAAGCAAATTCACTTAATTTTATTATAATGAAGATTTTCAAACTCATTTTTTTTTTATTTTTCCGACCTTTCAATTTTTAATTATTTTCACCCTCATGGTATCAATTTAGTTGTAATAATTATAAAAATAAAAAATCATATGGTAATAATATATATATATATATAATAATATTGTAATCCTAATTTTAAAAATATATTATAATATTATTTATATATTTACTAAGATCTTCCTAGCAAGGGCTCTACTCCAAACCAGGTGATGAAAATCCAATACAATGAGTTCCTTAAACTATATTAATATAAACATTTTTTTTTATTCATTATATTTTATATTTATAATTTAAATACCTACTTGAAGAAATATTAATAATAATATTGCTATAAAAATACATAGTTGTATGAACAATTATACTAAATAATAATCGACTACTAATTATCTAGCATAACAGGTATTGAAAAGATAATTTTATAAATTGTAAATACCGCGTTATTTGTTTCTTCTGTTAATAAATTGTATCATAAAATATAAACAATCTATTGCAATACTAAAACATAAAACCGCATTCTAATAAAAACTACTATGCGCGTGAATTTTAAAAACAATATCTCATATCTCAGTCAAAAATCAATGAATTTCAACAAAATATTCAGGGTATTTCTAGAACGTCTAAAGCGAGCCTAGAAAAAATTTCAGATCTTATGTCAACAAATAATAGCAGCAGTGAGCACTTTTTTTTTTAATGTGATTTTCTTAAACGCTCGAAGAGCTCTAAAAAAAATTTTTTGTCCTTTATAAATAATTTTCACAAGATAATATTGACGAGCTCTCTCATGAAAAAATTGTTTTCAAAAATCTGAAATCTTTAAGTATTTTTTCCAGTATTGAGCATTTTTATTGTCAACATTTTCAATGCTGTGAATTTTAATAAGATTTAATAAATTTTGATTAAAACATATATTTTTATTTTTCGTAAAATTTCAAATTGTAAATTGTTAGCTTTTTTTATATGTAACTAGGATGTGAGGACGGTTATGGAAAAACATTGCGTCAAGAGAAAATGCCAAAACTGGTGTATATTTATTATCTACAGTAGTTTAATCCTCACATTTTTTTTTCTATATTACAAACTACACAACTCAATTGAATTCTTCTGAATTCTCGTTGAGCCCATTTGCCCATGTCTAATACACAGCTTGTATATTACAACTTATCAGTCCATTAGCAAGTTAAGAATTATCACCGGTTTAATTATAAAATAAACACAAAATATTTCTACTGCTGTTTAATTTGGTAGTATATTTTGTCTTTAAGTGTGGGTCAGTAAGGCTTAAGCCTAGACCTGATTCTTTAAATTAGACTTTGTTATAATAATTATACATATTGTTTAATAATTAATTTTGCCCACAGATCTTAAGGACGGTACTGTATTTCATATTTTGCATACTTAAAAATTAATATCATTGTCATTTAAGTCACTCGTTTACGCTAAGTATTAATTTTGTTTTTTAATTGAAAATTTCATATATACCAGTCTTCAGGTCTGTTTATTTTATAACTTTCGCAATACTGATTTAAAAGATATTATCGACCAGTAATTTTCTTAGCTAGATATTTGTTTTGTTTGTTAGCCAGTTAAACATATACGTTTCTTACAAAAAATTTTAATTGAAAAAAATACGGACTAGAACTCTTTTTTTATATTAAATAAAGTAGTTAGGATATTAATAACTTGTGAAAATAAAAAATAGATTTTATCTTATAATTTTGAGAATAATGCCTGAAACATAGTTAACGAATGACTCTGTGTATATTGGTCGATTAAAGTAAACAATTTAATTACATAATATTATGAATTTAAAACCTTAACTAATTACTCATTCTTTTTTACTGGTATGCAAAGGGTTTAATGTGAAAAAAAGTGAGAGGGTTACGATATTTCTTGTGTAAGTATTTAGAGAATAAAATAGTATTGAGTCGTTCAACCAGGAAATTAACTTTATTATTATTTTTTTGTATAAACACACTACAGATATGTGTACATTAAAATCTGGAAAAAAATAAACAATTACAAGCTTGCAACCCGTTCTAACTGCTTTTCGACGTATAAAAGCAATATTGTTTTGATTATGATTATTTTACTATTTAACTTATCCCTTAGCTCGACATACCGCAGGTGAGTCAGGTAGCATTGTTTTTATACTAATCATACGTAGCGTGTTGACTGTGGAAGTCAGACTTTTTATTATTCAAGGTAATTCAATGTTTAAAAAAAGATTAAACATTTCATTTTTTCCCTCCTAAAAAACAAAAATAAAATAAAATAAACAAGCAGTAAAGTATTTTTAGCGAGCTCGATATAACTAAAGCTTTTAAACTAAAATATTATTCCAACATGTGTTGTGTTGAAATATTTTTGTTTATTTATGGTATGCAAATTAAACGATTTGAAGTTAATAAAAATTAATATTGAACATTCGTATAATTAAATATTGAGTAAAGTATTACAGAATAAAATTTACCGATGATAACGTTATAAATAATCTAGTGTTTATGAATGATGTTCCTATGATTTGGGAGACACTCTCAGGTTTAAATTATAGGTGAACATTAAAAAAAATCAAGAATAGAAACCTACTCTAAATAAATAAATTCCCTTATTTTTAGCCCAATATTTCATAATTTTGCTAAAAATTAGTACAAATTTGCTTATAGCGTGTTCCTGAAATTATTTAATCTTGAGACTCCAACACAACTAATTCGGCCTCTAAAAGTATTTTTTTGGTCAAAAACTAAATTTTTGTATCAAACAATGGCCTTTTATTGTGTTTATCATTCTTAATAAATTTGGCGTGAGGCCCCAGGCATTATTATGCTAAGTTGCTTAGTCAACACAATGGAACTGAACCTAATAAAATATAGAAAATGAATGAAAACAAAATAAATGTCTCGAAAATAGTATAAAAAAGAATTGCTATTTCATTTTTACGATTTCCAAAAATATGTTTAATTGTATGTGTTTCTCTTATTCATAAATTAATTGTTGAATTACTGAATTATTATCGAGTTTCCTATACTAGGTCATTAAAAGTGATTCAATAAAGTGAGGCCACTTCGCCACTTATAGAACCGCCTGATTTTAATACATATGACTAAATTTTGGATGATCTTGAGAGGGTAATTGCAACTCAATATAGATAAAATAATTTTAATAAATTATTTTTACTAAAAATAATTATTTTTATCTAGTATAAAACCACTAGCTTTTGAAATTATCATGATTAAATAGATGGTATCATTATGTTAATGAATCAACCAGTACAAAGAAAATAGAGTCAAATTACAATTAAATGTCAATAAATTAATACATTTTTAATTATAATTAAAATAGTTTGGGTATATGTTTTTAGAACATCAAGCACGAAACTGGATATCTTCAAGATGAATGCTTTTATGCCGAACAAAATAACTCAATGGAAGGTAAACTATATGTTTAAGTTCGAAATTATAATCTGTGATAATGTCTATAATAGTTATTAATATTTATAAATGTTAATTTTTTGAGATGTTATTAATCATGTTTAACGTGTCTTTTAAAAGTTATTGCTTGTGCTAAAGAGGACGGTAAAGAGCGCCGGTACCTATCGATTGATACGGACACGAACCGATTAAGCTAAACAAACCACGTATTGTTTATTCAATTAATTTTTATAAAGTATAGATGAAATTTTGATTAAAAACAATACCATACGCTAGACCCTAAGTCACACCAGTGGTTATTAGGACCAAAAAATTTATGATAAAATGAACAAAAGCTTTGGCAAATAGGAATAAAACTGTATTATCGACAACGCAATAAAAAAACTATACTCCTAGTAGTTCTAATACTTATATAAGTTTAAAATATTGATGTTTAATATTTTTAGTACAGGCGCTAAAAGTACTTTTTTTTAGGAAAGACCTTTTTTTGTTCAAAATCTAGGTTTGTCCGGCTTTATAATCACAATGCATTGTTTATATTTTCCTTGTGCTAGCTCTTGTTCTTTTATTGGGTTACTTATGTAGGTATTTAATTTACGCATTTAAAGTATTATAACAGTGAGTTCTATTAATATTTCACTTTACGAAAAAAATTACATGGTATTCATGTATATAATTGTCCCTTAAATAATGTGCAATATTCGCCTGACTAAGTTTTTTGTGCTCGCTCGTTTTTTTTTATGTTAATGTGAGTGACCCCAGTGAGTGGGTGCGGTTAAAAAAAAGTTTTATTTTATTAATTTTTATTAGTATTTGTTTTTTTGTTCAGTGGTTCAGAATAATATGTCACAGGCTTGTATAACTGAATAGTATTCTACAAACGTCTGTTTCGTCACGTTTCACTGTAATATAAATGGAAGGGCTCTAGTAGTTATAGGACTGGGTGACGTGGGGGAAACATATAACGAGGACTTTTTAATGATCTGTTAAACGCTTCGGCCAGTTTCCCCGAACTGAGTGGACACTTCGCCAAACGACCAAACATGGGGCACAATTTTTTATTTTAGACTACCATAATATTGTTAATGAAACAAAACTATTTATTGTTCTACAATAACCTACTGATTTAAATAATTACTTTAAACTATAGCATTAAATTAAAACTAATTTTGCCTGAGTTTATAAATTAAGGTATAAATATTAAGATGTAATATAGAAAATAAATTGTTCACTTAGTCGTGTTACCAAAAATTTCATTTCCAATGAAGTATTAATTTAAATTTTTACCTGTATTATACAACATAAAAATTGGACATTCTTTATGAATGGGTCAATTTTAAATCTGTTACAATGTTAATAAACACTGCTGTGCTAATAAAAATGTAACACTAGACTTTAAAAATCCAGTAGGTAAAACGTGTTTGTATTCAATTCGTACATATTTAATAGTTCTTGAAACATTTTGAATTTTGATAAAATATTATAGTGTTTTTTAACGCTTAACATTGTTTTCGTGTCTATTGTTTTATTAATATTGACAAAATTTAAGTATTTTTAATGGAGCATACTTAATTTATTTTATCTAGGAGACGATACTGATATAAACGCCAATAACACTAACGAGGATAAAAGAAATTACTTTCAAGATTCTCATCATATTTCTATGCATGAACCATCCACTACAGAATTAGTACCATTATCCATATACCCTTCAGAGAATGAATTACAGTATGAAATAAACTAGTAAATTATCTAACAAAATAACAATTAAATTAGTTAATATTTTCTTACAATATTAAAAATAATAACTTAAATTTTAACTGTTTCAATTAAATAAATTTATCAGTTATTTATTACTTTTTTACATCATCACTTGTAACTTATAGGCGTGTTAAATTTATTTATTTCAACTACAACATACATATTTAACTAGCTTATAAAATGGGAAATTGTCTAATTAAGAAAATAACTGGTCGATAACAACTTTTGGATTAGTACTTCGGAAGCTATTAATATTTTATACCTTAGCGGGTGAAGAAGTATGGACAAGAAATGTTTAATAATACAAATGTTCATATCCGTGTCTCTTTATATTTAATTATAAACCTTATAAATTTTAAATATATGAAGTTGATATAAATTTAAATTAATATTGAATCAATAAAAAAAAATAATTAAATTAAATTCTTAGGAATAATGGAGTGGTGCATTCTGGTGATATCAGTAGCAATACGGTTACGTCTTTGGGGTCTCCCGAAGAAAGGTCACCTACATCAACTGATCAACAGCAACCACAACAACCCAATGCATCTACATTACCAGCAAAACCACCCTATTCATATGTTGCTTTAATCTCGATGGCCATTGAACATTCTCCTTATAAACGTGTCACGTTGTCTGAGATTTACAAATACATCACGGCCAAGTTTCCATACTTCGAGAAAAACAAAAAAGGATGGCAGAATTCAATAAGACATAACTTATCCCTAAATGAGTGCTTTCTCAAAATACCTAGAGATGGAGGTGGTGACAGAAAAGGCAATTATTGGACTTTAGGTATATATTTAATATTAGTCTTAACACACCTATCAAAGCAATGATCAATAATAAAATCAAACCTCGTATTTCATTGTTTTCAAGCAAACCGAGGATAATATTGTATAATTTTCAGTAAGTGTTCTGATGGATTATATTTGTAAGTAAAACCCTTTAAATTGAATGCTATAATAAAAAAGTGGACTGGTATATTTTGAGGAAATGTTAAACTGAGTAGTTTCTCGTTGTTTTCTAATCTGGCCCATAGCGTTTGTCGCTGTTGGAATTGACAGAAATTAACCCATACTACAACTAACAGCTGTAGTCGGAGCTTAATTATAGAGCTTGACAACATCTAAAGTGTCCATTGTGTCACATTATGTACTTGACAATTCCCCAGAAAATAAAATCAACACGATTGATCATTATTAATCAACCTATACTTAGAAATATATTTGGTAATAAATAAAAGTGATGGCAATGTTAAAGAATTTTTATTCGTGTATGATAGTACAATAAAATTTCCAAAAAAATTAAAATAACGTTTTGATAATTTTAGTAAACTTTTGATTTTGGTTCGATGCTGAAAATTTGTCGTTCTTAAAATGTTTTTTTTTGTACCATATTACTTGTAACTTAAATAATTAATTGCCTGATATGTTCATATTTTTAAGGATACTCGTTTTGGTTTGCGACTATTATTATTTCACATAATTATTTACATATATATATGTGTATTTATGTCAATATTATTTCTTATTTTAAAATGTACTGTCAAAACAACACTCTAATATTTTTAATTTTATAACATGATCGTAGTCTTCTGATTTTACTCTTTATCACATACAGTCAGGATTTTTATAAAAAAAATTTTTTATTATTACTTTGTAATGACAGCTGACAATACGTAAAAATTGCTGTTTCAGAGTTATTGAAATTATGATAAAGATTTGTACGCGTGCGTTGTGCTTAGATCACCAAAACATGAAAACCATGACGTTTCAATAATTAAATTATGCTTTATTTATTATTAGGCCTAATAACATAATCTATGAAAAAATTTGATTCGTTCGCTTCATAAGCACTTTTTATTTGACTACTTGTTAAATATTAAATTGCTGGTTACTATTAATTATATTAATTCTCTAAAATATTAAAGATAGTTAAAAATACGATTTAATTTACTCTCTTAAACAGAATTGGAGACAAATATCAACCTACAGAATTTTATAATAATCTCGTCTACTTAGAATAATATGAACATGTTTACTTATATTAAATGTTACCGCAATGAAGGATTTATTGCAAGTACAAGATAACCCCTTTTTTTGTTATTAAAAATTCAGTTTAGTTATACTTAATGAAAGCAAAAATGATAAATATCTACAAAAAAACAATTTAAATAGTCAATGTGATAAATTTAACGTTTTAAAAATTTTTTAGGTAAACTTTGTCTTTAAAAAAATGCTAGATTGCTTTTATTACTTAAACGTTTTTTTTTAATGGACGGTTTTGTTTTTCACCTTAAATATACCTTCAGTTATCCATTATTGTTACTTCATCAGTAATATTTTTCCTAAACGTAATTTTGGGAATATATAACAATTTATAATCGACGTGTTTATCGAAATAACAAAAAAAAATTGTACAATATTTGTTTTCTTGCAGCATATTGTTGTAGTTTTTACAGTAGACTGAACTTATTTTTATATAAAATTAAATATATATTAAAAATATTAATTTAAAACAAAAAAATATTAAAACTATTTAACTGAAAAAGCCTCAAAAAAATGTTAAAAAATCATGGATATGTATTTCGGGAACAATTTTACAATAATCAACGCTAAACACATACTTATTTTAATGTTCGAAATAATATTGTTTATTTTAAATATAAAAATCAATTAATTTGTGGAGGTAGGTCGAATAAAATATGAATAGAAAATATATGAAAGATAAATGTAAATTTTAAGTATGATGGTTTTTAACATAATAGACGTGTTTGCTATATAATGTTACTGATTTATTATTTTAAAAATATTTATATATCAATATTCAAAAAATTGAAGCAGTTAAATAATTGTTGTTTGTTATGATTCTCTGATTAATTCACACCAACATTATGTTCAGTTTAAATGATTAATGAAACGCGATAACTTTATCAGTAATGTATGACTAATAATTGTTTTTTTTCATCTAAAGATCCCAAGTATGACAATATGTTTGAAAATGGAAATTACAGAAGAAGACGAAGAATGAAAAGACCTTATAGAACCACTCCTTATAGTAGACCTGGACCTTATTTTGGACCAGATTACAGAGGTGTTTTAGGACCACATCCTTCAAATTTTGGATCTAATCCCAATATGGCACCTAGATTTGATCACAAGTGGGTATTAGTTTAGTTAGTATTGGAGAAATGGTTCTCATACCTATATTTAAAAATGTGTTTATTATTTCCAGTAATAGCTGGCCAATTTCATCTTATTCGCCAGTTCCTCAGACGCATCAATTACATTTTCCACTTTCTTCTCAGGTAATTAAAATGTAAAGGGTTTCAAAAAAATTATTTTATTCATAATCACTAATTATTGAGTTATTGAACAATTTGTCCAGATTTAAAATAAAAGCCAACTAGCGGTATGTTTAGATTTATTTCCGGATGAGGGTAGTTATATGTAGGATAATTTTATATTACTCTCCAAATTGTATGCTGGACATCTTATTATTTTCGTCATATTAGAGTTTGAAATCGGTATCTGGATTAAGAATCAAACATCAAAATTTATACTGAAAAAACTTGCTTAATTTTATTTTAGGCAAATTATAAGTCTAATATCCAGTTGCTTTTCTATAGTTTCCTGTTAGATCAGCTACTAAATAAAAGATCCCGTATCGGAATTACAATAATATTCAGCTTTTTTTTTTGAGGTTTTAAGGACCCCTAGTTACCCAAGCAATAGTAATTTTAAGACATAATTAAATTTTCTTACTTTATGTAATTTATCCATGTACTATATTAGGATAATTTTTAAAATTTGATAGATTAAGGAAACATTTGCAATATTAATCGTATTAAAAAATATGATTTTTGAAACAATAATAATTTTCAGTTGCAGCCATTGCAATCTGTTCAGATCTCATCCGTGAACCACAATAATTATAATCATTTACCATCACCAATAGGTAAGTACAACTATTTCTCGTTTTTATTTATTTTATACTCGTATAGCAAATTAATTTTAAAAAAAAATCAGTATACTTTTTTTTATTTTTACATTTATCTAGATGTTGTATATGATAATTTATTGAAGTATTCAATAACACATAATCGTTGAATTAATTTATACGTGTAACCAGACTATTTCCACGAGGTGCAAATTGTAAAAAAAATGGTGAACGCTAAATGTAGTTTTTCCCACATTGAATATACTTTTATATTTTCATAAATAATTTTTAAAAATTCATAGTAGCCAAGAATTTTTCTATTTGCGTCAGTGATAATAAGGAGTAATAAAAATGGCTGTCTAATATAATTAGACATAAAGACGATCCAGAAGGGATTTATAAGTCTTAAAAACTAATATTAGTATATGTAGCTGTCTACTATGTTAAAAGTGATTTTTTATCATAAACCACTTAACCAATAAATAAAATCAAGAATGGTTTTATTTGTTTCTTCTAGGTACGTGTTTTTCTTAATTAATTAATCATCAAGTATTTTTTATGTTCATACCTTATGTCTTATAAAGGTCTTGAAAGGTAATTTCTACAAGACTAGTGAAGTCAATGCTGTATGGTTCAGAGTGTTGGACGGTTGATAAGAAAGCAGAGCAGAGAATGAATGTAGCAGAGATGAGAATGCTTAGATGAGTGAGTGGAGTGACTAGAAAAGATAAAATAAGGATCGAACATATAAGAGGTAGTATAAGTGTAACGTCAATCGTGGATAAGATGAGAGAAAATAGACTTAAATGGTTTGGTCATGTTATGAGGAGAGAAGAATCGGAAGCTCTAAGAAAAGTTATAGAAATGAATGTTGAAGGAAGAAGAGGTAGAGGAAGACCAAAAAAGAGATGGAGGGATGCTATTGAATGCGATATGAGGACAGCTGACGTGAGCGTAGATGATGTGGGAGATCGTGTCAAGTGGAAGTTTAGGCCAATCTCAAGTAGTTGAGATTAAAGCAAGGAAGAAGAAGAAGAAGATCTTATGTCTTATAAGAGTAGCAACTTATTTTTTTATTTTTTAATGGAAACATACTTAATTAATTAGTTTATTTATTAAATTATGGTCTAATTAATAAAATAATTGAACCATAACAACTTTTGAACTAGTAACTCGAACATTTTAACAATTCAAAGTAATAATTGGAGATGTGTGGTTGGGTATTGTTATTTTTCTCACTAGACATTTCTTGGTCCTACTCTTCGTCTCGCCTAAGTATTTGAATGGTAATAACTTCCGAAAATCTTGTTCTAAAATTGTTATTAAACAATATTTTTCTCTTTTTAACCTAGGTAGGAAGAGTGTTACCAGGAAATGTCTAGTGATAAAATTAAAACACCCGCACCTCATATCTCCGGTCATTACTTTAAATCATTAAAACTTTCGTGATAATGGTTCAAAAATTGCTATTATTCATTCAATTTATTTTTATTTTTTAAAGTGGTTTACACTAATAAGATCGCTCTTTATACAAAGTGAACAGATCTAAGCGACAACTCTTATGATTTTTTATTAAATAATTATTTTGCTTTAATTTTGTAAAACAATTTTTGTATTTGAAGACTACATTAAAAGCATATTTGTCATTAAATATTAGTAATTTATAAGCATTTTAACACATAGAGTAGGTATGTAGTGCATGTGGGTACAGCACGTACTGGTGTATATTTATAACACTTACTCGACCCGTGACCGTTCTCACTCTATGCATGTAACTTAATAATTACTCAGCCTAAAATTGTTACTGACCCATCAAAACTTTTTGTAAGAAAAGCTTTAAGAAATGACTTTATTTAAACTTTGAAAACTTTAAAAAATTATTTTTATTACTAAAAACAAATAATAAAAATGGTAACACAGTGCGACACAGTATGAATGTGGCATAGTTAAGACAAGTATAGATGATATCTGACAGTGACTAAAATCACTATAATAAGAAATTCTTCGATACAAATCTGTAGATAGTGTTTAATTCTAAGACATAGGTGGATAATTACGAAAGCAACATCAACTCCTATTTCCTTAATTATATCCTCATTAGTAATTCTTAGATTCAAAAATATAATATATAATATTTATAATTAATTATTTTCAAATTATTATTGATTTTGATTTTTAATATGTTAAAAGTTATAAGTTTTAAACTGCTCTTTTTTGTCCTTTAAAGTGAAAGTTTATAGTAAAAAAAAAAAATGAATTTATAACCATAACTATTAGCTCAACTTGCAAGTTTGAATTTGACATCATTAAATAGAAAAAAATGGTATTATTAAGATTAATATATAGTCAGAAAATTTTATAATTATTATTTACAGTAAAGTTATCAGAAAAGCATGATATTTTTTGCATTTTTATCGTAATAGAACACTTAAATGGAAATAATAGTAATAATTACTAATTAACTTTTAGTGTTTAAAAAGGTTCTATAATTGAAATATTCAGAACTTAATTAATTTTAATGATTTTAACTAAAAAAATCAAGAAATAAGTTAATAAAAAAATCTACACAATTAGGTGTATTATTATAAAATTTGAATACAATAGTAAAATTCTATTGTTAAATTCAAGTGAAACTAAAAATCATTTTTTTTGGAAATGATTTTTATAGCAACATGTTACCAACAAAATTAGATTATTAGACTGGTAGTAGCACACAAAAATAGAGTTAAAAAATTAATATATTATAAAGTAAAATTATTTAATTTTGTAGTTGAATACTTTCATCATATTAAATCCAATTTGAAAATAAATACTTTGAAAATATTAGAAATGGATGATTTAAATTTTTTGTATGGAGAAAGCTTTTTATTTGATTAAGGAATTTTTTCAATTTTTAAGGGTAATATCTTCAACTAAATACGAATTGTAATCATTTGACATATCATTGAAAAAAGTAGGTCAAGTGAGGATTAGGAAAATAAATCGCAGCCACAAATAAAACCACATATTAAAATAATATTAACATGAATAAGAAATGTCTTCACACGAAGAAAGACTACAGTGATTGGATCCTTGATATATATTGAAGTTAAATTAACTAATTAAATTCTTGAATCTAAATGAATTAAAAATCAAATGATTTGAACATTTTTCTACTTAAAAAAATGCAAAAAGTTACTGCCATAGGCGGATTTGGCCCTCGTATCCAAATGTGAAAAACTCGAGTGTTATCGATTCGACCAGAGTTTATCGCTTTTCTCAATCGATAAAATTGGTAATTTAAGCTAATTAAAATTTTAAAATTACTTTTTTCGACTTAAAAAGAGTCAAAAATTTAAATAACCTTATATTCTATGTTAATTAAATTATATGATATTCATGAAATTCAGTGAATTCCCCTTGTAAGATATTTAAAAATAAAATACAAAACCCAGAATTTTAACACAAAAATAGCATGTTTATTAAAGAGGGTAGCCATTTTCACCAAGAAGAAAATCCATACTTCGAATTTTTTTTTTTTTTCATAGGAAAGTATATAATACAAGCTTTAATTTAAAATTAAATAAAAGTGTCAATATTTTCGGAACATTTTCAAAAGTTAAATTACTTTTATGAAGTCTTATTTTCAAAAAATGTATATCAAATAAAAGAAAATTTTTAAGGTTTCAATATAAAAAAAAAAATTATTTTAATTTGTTCATTTTTAAAAAGTTATGGCAGTTTTAAGTATTAAAATATTTTATGTTAAACAGTGATTTTTACATAAAAATTACATTTTTCGTTAAATTCGACAGCCATTTTCCTATAGAAGAAAAGGTGTCTGGACAAATTTTTTTTCAAACTTTTAGTATTTTTTGTAAACTTTAATTTGACGTATATTTAATGTTCGGAGATTTCCGGAACATTTTCTAAAGTTAAGTTGAAAAAGTTCTACTTTTTTATACGTTTCAAGTTTTGAACGCCCCCTGTATAAAGGAAAATTGTTCAATTTAAAGTAAAAGTATGTCAAATTAGCGAATGTATATATACGAATGTAAGGTAATGTATTTAGAAAAGAAAATTTGTGTTGATACATACATTTTTTGAAAAGTTATAGCAATTTAAAGTTGAAAATTTAAAATCAAAAATTTTAACACAAAAGTAGAATTTTTTAATTACAGCAACCGTTTGCACGTAGAAGATAAGTCGTCGGGACAATTTTTTTTTTTATAGTACATAACATTAGCTTCAATTTGACATGTTTTTAAAGCTCGTAGTATTTCCGAAAAATTTTCAAAAATTGTTGGAAAAGTTAATTTTTATAAAAAAAAAGTTGCATTTGAATCCCCTCTGTGACCAGGTTAAGTGTTAGATTTTCAAAAAAATGATATCAAATGAAATGGAAATATCTAAAGTTTCAATATAAAAAAAAATTATGTTGATTTGTTCATTTTTCAAAAAGTTATAGTAGTTTTAAGAAAAAAAAGTGAAAAAAATGTTAAAAATTACTGATTTTTAAAATTGTAATTTTTTTGGAGATTTTCCTCATTTACGGGGAACGAGAGAAATTTTTTCAACTTTTAAGAGTAATGTCTTCAACTAGATACGATTTGTTATCTTTTGTGGTATTGTCAAAAGTAATTGGTCCAGTAAGAGCTAAAAAATATTGGCAACAGTCACAAAAAAAACACATCATGGTAAAATTAATACCTTCTCAGCTTCGCATCGAAAATAAAAAGATAATTTTAACATAGTTTAAGAATGTATAAATAAGTACAAAACAAAAAAAAATATACAATGAAATGTATTATGTTAAATATCAAAAGTTATAAAGAGTTGTCAGTTAAATCTATTTCATTAAATCTAATCTAATTCAAAATGCCATCTATTAACAACTTCAAATGAGGGTAACAATCCTTCAATTCTCCTTTGAATTGACTAATAAGCTTCATAACTATCTAGGGTAAAGTGTGGTAAATGTAAACGAATGGGGTAATTTTTCTCTCTTAGAATATTTAGCAGATTTAGTTTTATATTGAAAAGTTCTTGTCCTTGTATATATTGCTATAATTAAAATGTAAGTACGAAATAATAACTTGTGCATTTATCTAAAAAAATATTTACAATTACACCCGCTGTACTCTATAAGTGTTCAGCGACATAGTATCAAACAAATTTCGGGAGAGGAAAAATTTTGATTAAAAAGGGTAGTTTTTTTTTTTTTATTATTTTTCTTAAAATATTTAGTGGTTTTTAAAATTTTTTTAACTTATTAACATCATTAAAAAATTTCAGGTTTCGTCATTCGTATGGTACAAGAGATTTTTTTTTAGTTTAGCTCTTGGATTGACCTAAATACCCGCGTTACCCTTCAAAAAAAATACTTATTTTGTATGTAACATTAAAAAATAAATTATAAGACCTTAGGTTACATACACTTTAATTCGTAGATGTTTTTACCACGTTATTCTACAACGCAAGCTGTATTAAAAGGGATTGATTTATTTCTTTATCAATATGTAAATAAATACAGAGTAAGCGATTAATCATAAACCACTCGAATACTCGTAAAAAAAAATACAACATTGAAAAAAATGTTGATTATTTTAATTGCAGATAAATTATGATTTATCAACTAATAATTACTCTCCAAAATCATCCCTTTTAACTTAATGGGGTGTCAACTATATTTTTTTCATAATATTAACATACATATTATCTAACTTATAAAATAGAAAAAAATAACTGGTCGATAACAACTTTGGGAATTATTGTCATTTTTATACATAAGCAGTTCAAAGAGTATGGTCAAGAAATGACAACTGATAAAATAGCAGCACCTAATCCTTAACCTCCAGTCATTACTTTAAATTATTTATAATTTAAATTAATTAAAATTAATATACCCACTATATGATTTACATTAATGTGTTAATAATTTATTAAAAATATAATAAAGTAAGCAATTACTTACTTGTAATAGGTGCAAACATGCCATTTGGTGGTTCATATCCTCAATGTCAAAGAAGGCCTCAACAAGAAGTTTTACCTGACACTACTCTCCAATATCCATACTGGGCTTCATCAACTTCTTCGCCAGACCACATTATATCAGGTAATACATGCTATTTACAAATATATTAATATGACACATTAAATTACCACATATTGTGAATTTAATATTCATAAATTGTTTAAAACGTAATAACAAGTTTATTCGTTGTTCAATTGCTTTATATTGAATTAAATTGCATCAAATATTCAATATATTAAAGAGTAGTTAATTTATATATATTGTAAACGGTTTAAGATTAGTAATTTTCCGATCAATTCAATTCATAATTCGGATTAAAATTCTGATTATGTATTTCCTATCAAATCCGTTAGTTCGGATAAATAATTATTATTAGTTATTAATGAAATTAATTTTATTTAAAATCTTCAATTGAACTAATACTATTATGAGAGATATGCAAAGCTTGCAATTTTAGTAATATATTTTTTATACAAACTTGAAAATCTATTAGAAACTATGAAGTTAGATAATAAAAGAATACTTATATCTTAAAATCTTATTAATTTTTTTTACCAGATGATTATTTAAAATATTAAATATACATAAATGATATTTAACTTTCAAAATTAAATCTTACTTACGATTCCAAGTGAGAGAGGACAATATTTAACTATAATTCTTAAAATGATATTTATTCTAAACAAAAAAAATTTACCTCGGTTTTCTAATATAAAAAACTTCATTTTATATTGTAACTAAAAACATTTTAAAATAGAGAAATAAAGCTTTTATATCTTAAAAAAAATTGTTTAACTATTACACGAAATACTAAAGCAAAAATAAATCTTTATCATTATTTTTGCAAGAAGCAACGTTTCATGTTATTAATGTTGGACATTATTTGTAATGTTTATTAATAAATTAAAGGAGAAAATATCGTGATATTTTAAATTATAGATGAGTCTATAAGGCTTAATAATATTTTATAAGCTATAGTTATCAAATTTAAATACTGAGGATGATCCAGATATAAGAATACTTTTAATTTCAGAGCATTTTAGCTGATATATTAAGAATTTATTATTTTTGGCTAATATTATTTAAAATTAAAAACAAATATAAAAAATATTTAATTCAATAAGTCACATAAATTATTTAAAAATTTAAAAACCATCATTGGCACTAAACACAAGTACGTGCTAAATTAGTATTTTAAATATATTTTAGCTTCGATGCGAAGCTCAGAAGGTATTGGTTTTACTATGTTTTTTTTTTTTTTTTTTTTTTTCNTAGCTTCGATGCGAAGCTCAGAAGGTATTGGTTTTACTATGTTTTTTTTTTTTTTTTGTCACCACTTTTTCTCAGCTCTCACCGAATCGATTTCTTTCAACGATACGTCAAAAGATCACAAATCGTATCTAGTCGAAGACATTACCCTCAAAAATTGAAAAAATTTTTCTCGTTCCCAGTAAATGAGGAAAATCTCCAGTAAAATTACAAATTTAAAAATCGCTTATTTTCGACATTTTTTCAATTTTTTTACTTAAAACTGCCATTTTTTTTTTAAATTAACCAAATCAATGTAATTTTTTTTTTATATAGATCATATTGTCTTTACCTTACATTTAGTATATTTTTTATAAATCTGATCCTTTACCTGCCCACAAAGAAAGGATTTAAAATGACATCTTTTTCACAAAAAATTAACTTTTGAAAGTGTTCCGGAAATACTGACACTTTTATAAATATCTTAAATATATGGAAACCTCCAAAAAAATTACAAATTTAAAATTCGCTTATTTTCGACATTTTTTAAATTTTTTTTACTTAAAACTGCCATATTTTTTTTAAAATTAACCAAATCAATGTAATTTTTTTTTATATAGATCATATTGTCTTTACCTTATATTTGGTATATTTTTTATAAATCTGATCCTTTACCTGCCCACAAAGAAAGGATTTAAAATGACATCTTTTTCACAAAAAATTAACTTTTGAAAGTGTTCCGGAAATACTGACACTTTTATAAATATCTTAAATATATGGAAACCTCCAAAAAAATTACAAATTTAAAATTCGCTTATTTTCGACATTTTTTAAATTTTTTTTACTTAAAACTGCCATATTTTTTTTAAAATTAACCAAATCAATGTAATTTTTTTTTATATAGATCATATTGTCTTTACCTTATATTTGGTATATTTTTTATAAATCTGATCCTTTACCTGCCCACAAAGAAAGGATTTAAAATGACATCTTTTTCACAAAAAATTAACTTTTGAAAGTGTTCCGGAAATACTGACACTTTTATAAATATCTTAAATATATGGAAACCTCCAAAAAAATTACAAATTTAAAATTCGCTTATTTTCGACATTTTTTAAATTTTTTTTACTTAAAACTGCCATATTTTTTTTAAAATTAACCAAATCAATGTAATTTTTTTTTATATAGATCATATTGTCTTTACCTTATATTTGGTATATTTTTTATAAATCTGATCCTTTACCTGCCCACAAAGAAAGGATTTAAAATGACATCTTTTTCACAAAAAATTAACTTTTGAAAGTGTTCCGGAAATACTGACACTTTTATAAATATCTTAAATATATGGAAACCTCCAAAAAAATTACAAATTTAAAATTCGCTTATTTTCGACATTTTTTAAATTTTTTTTACTTAAAACTGCCATATTTTTTTTAAAATTAACCAAATCAATGTAATTTTTTTTTATATAGATCATATTGTCTTTACCTTATATTTGGTATATTTTTTAATAAATCTAATCCTTTACCTGCCCACAAGGAAGGATTTAAAATGACATCTTTTTCACAAAAAAATAACTTTTTCAACTTAACTTTTGAAAGTGTTCCGGAAAGTCTGACACTTTTATATATACCTTAAATTAAAGCTTATGTAATATACTTTATCATGGAAAAAAATTAATTCTGACTTTATTTTGTCTTCACGGTGAAAATGGCTACCGAATGCTATTTTTATGTGAAAATTCTCAATTTTGTATTTTACATTTTTAACTTTATTATGCTATAACTTATTGAAAAGTGTATGGATCAATACAATTTTTACATGAGAAGTGGTATTTATATACATCTTTCATTCGACATACTTTATCTTAATCAAGATATAAGTAAAGAAATAGCAAATCACATGTAACTTTTGGAATAATTCACTAATTTTTTAAAATTAAACACTATCTAAAGATTTGCATCAAAGCATTTTTTATTATAGTGATTTTAATCACAGTCAGATATACATTATACATTATATACATTATAACCAACTATGCACGTCACCACTGTACTGCGAACCCCCTGTGCTGGGTTTTTAATTGTAAATTAGTTGACTTTGTTCAGCAAATATTGAGATTTCATACAAACAAAAAATACTCGTAATGAAACTTGTAATAACATATATTATAATATAATTTTTTTTTATTTTATATTTATATTTGTAATTCTGTAAAATTAAATTTTATTTAATTCATTACTTCTGTGTGATTACTGGTCGTTAACTAATCTCAAATATGTAATAATGTAAAGTTAACAGAATTTTAGAATAGTAAATACTGATACTCTGTAGCGTGTATTATGTCTAAAAATAATTTGTTTTTGAAAACATAACATCTTTTAAAATGTCTATTAAGATTTTAAATTCGGTGGTTTTATTTTTATAGTGAAGGAAGAACATTTAAACCTCATAGAAAAAAACCAAGATACGCTCAATCTTGATCATTTTGAAGTTCAACCACCAAATGTAGAATTTGAGGTAGCAGATTCAAGACAAAAATGTTATTTGTGAAAAAAATTTGTGCACCTATTAATAATATATAGGAAATCTCAATACAATTGTTTATGATTAACTTTTTACCTAGTTCTAAACATGTGGAGTTTTATCTTAGTTAAATACTTATTTAAAATACCTACTAATTGTTATATACTTGAAAAATTACCAAAGTATTTAATTTGTGGTTGATGTTACTAAGGGGGATTTCAATTTTTGGGGAAGATGCATTAGAAAAATAGGTTATTACTTTTTTATTGTTAAATATTTATTTACTATGTTTTTTTTTTGTGATTTCAAGAATTGTATATTTTTTTAGCTACTAAACAAATTAAAACTATCTTATTAAGTTTCATAATCTATAATTATAAATACCATAACCTATAACTTATTTAAAATACATATTTAATTAATATGTATATATATATGTACCTAATTAGTTAATTTATATGATTTCATCTACTTTTCTGTTATTTTCTATTTAGATTGTGTTAAAAATTAAAAAATATTTAAGAATAATATAATTTTTCTCATCAAGTGATATGAAATATCAATTAACTTAGTAAACTATAGAATATTTTTATAGTATTTTACAGATGTATTTATTAGACTAAGCAATAAAAGTTGTTCAGTAAATCACTAACTTGATTTAATTAATTTTTTTTAATTGTACATAAACTTGTTTTATAACTATTATGTAATTATATAATAGTTATCTAATTGTAATTAGAATTAAACTTTAAATTAAAAGGTTATTTTGAACGCTCAAAACCTTTATAAATAAAAAATAACTTTTATTTCTATTTATAAATATTTAATTTTAACTTAAATTAATAAAATCAGAAAAGTATGTGAAATAAATTATTTCTTTGAAAGGAATGCTTTATTGAAATAATTAATTTTTTTTAAGGTCGTATGGTATACTCATTTTATTATTAATACCTTATTAATAAGACTATGTTTCCCCAAGTACAAAATTTGTAAAAGTTAAACATTAAAAAAAAGAAAATTAAATAGGTAACTATTTGAATAATTAAAATTGAATTATAAACATTATGTTATATACTTATCAATTTTTTATTTTTGTATTTAATTAAGTTTTAGTAATATTGGTATAGATTTATACTTGTATTTTGTGAAAATATATTAATAATAAAAAAAAAAATATTTGATTTATTAGCGACATTGTATAATTGACATTTTTATTGTTGTCTTAAAAGTAAAAGAATCAAATAGCTAGCTATTTTGTATCAACATTTAACAAAAAAAAGTTTTATTAAAGAATATTTAAATTTTTATCACTCTCATTTATGCTTGAAACCTAATAATTTTTTTTAAATATTACCTAACTTTTAAATAAATTGCTTGTCAAACGTTATTAAAACATTCTTTTGTAAAAGTGTTAATTTAAAGACTGAAGTTTGAAAATTATAACAGAGACAATCGAAATGGAATATTTTCTTATTTCATCAAAATTTCTAAAAATAAAACTCGTTACATAGCTAAGTTTTGTAATTTGTAGATTCTTTTACTTTGATATTTTATTTTTTGATGCCTACAAGCTTACACGCAATGTAGTACATATAATAATAGTGTTTTAACTATTGCAGTTTTAGTTTTATCACTAAAAAATATTCTTCAAAATATTAGCTGCTACTCAACTGATAAAAATATTTAAATAAGATTTAAATAAATATTTTCTATTTTTTTTTTTTGTTTTGCTTTGCTCTTTAACTACATCAACTTATTTGTAATAAAGTTATATTAATTAGGGTTTTCTTTTTAATTCTCAGATATTGAATACTGACAAAAATAATCCCATATAACATTTTTTTTTTTTAATTTTAATTTATTAAGGTAAAAAAGCATTTATTTAAAATTAAAATAGTATACATTTATAATTATTTATTTAAAATTATTATTTTTTTTAAGTTATTATAATAACAGGAAATTTATAATTGAGAATTATTATTTATAAAAAATAAACTAGTATGTTTATAAATATTTCAAACTATTGTATTATAGTAAACAATTAAATATCATAAAATATTTCTTAGACGCACACTATAAATTTATTATAAATACAAAATTTACAAATATTAAAAATAATATTTATGTGCAATAAATATATTTTCAAAACAAAAACAAATATATGGGTATGGTATATGATTAACTTTGCAAGTATTACAATGGTAAATTCTTAATAATTTTACTGACTTAATAATTATTTGTAAAAATTAGATTAATATTATTATATTTGTCCTCTATACCAGATATTAAAAAACTAATCAAATATGATAATGGATGGATGATTTGATAGTTAAAAATAAATGGTTTGTAAAGTAGCAATACTCATAAAATAATCTGAAATGATGATTATAATAACTAATTAAAACTAAAACCATTTAATGTAATTTTAGTATAAAATATTTTATGGAATGATAATTTATAATATTTTAGTTAAATGAAAATTCAATATTCATGTAATTTTAAGAAATAAATAATACATAGAACAAAATAAATAACATATATTAATACAAATCATTCTCTATATATAACAGTGGACACTGAATAATTTATAATAGTTAACTATAGCATTAATATGTAAATAATTATAGTTACCAATATTTATTAATAATCATCATCATCATCATCAGAAAGCTCTGCATCTAAATTAACACCCTATAATAAAAAAAAATTGTTAGTGTAATAAAAATTATTACTCTTAATTATTTTATGTAAAAACTATAACATAATAAATTATTCTTTTATTATTTATATCATTTTTTTTTATGATATTATTTTCCAAAATTTTCCCAAAAATAAAAAAATTAGACATCAAAATTATATTTCTTTTTTTTTACAATTTTTTACCGTCATTGTAATTTTTAATTATTAATCAAATAGTCGGGATGCAGCTATAGAGAGTAACTAATCTAATTAAAATTACTGCAATGAGGCCAATAAGAAACATTTTTTTTCAAAATAGAATGTTGAAAAGTCAGTCAATTATAGGTGTAAATAAAGGATGCTTTATCTACAAGAACCCTAAGTAGATTTAACCATTTGAAAATTTGTAAAGAAAAATAAAATTATTTCTTTATACTATTGTATAAATAAATAGTTACTATTATTTTAAATCTTGTATTTTAATATTGTGAGTATAAAATAACATCAATGAAGTATGTGTATTTTATTTTAAACATAGTAATAACTTTAAGTTTTAATAATTATAGTTTAAATTCTACACCTGTAGAAAAAAATGAGTGTATATAATATTATACACAATTATTTAATTATAATTAGATGAAAATAATGTTGAATAAACCATTTTGAATAGAAGAAGAAAATTTTTTTATTGGTTTTTGAAACTTAAGAACCCCCAAGTTTAAAACACTATTTGAGCTTATGAAATCAATAAACTTGGTTGCCTCCTTATAAATGTTTGCTAAACTCCAAAAATTAATTTACTAATATTGAAAATTATTAAGTAAAAATTGTTTTAAATAAACAAATATTTTATTGGTTTAAATTAGTTGAAAGTTTTCTTGTTTCTCTCCTAAAAATTAAGAACATTATTAATAAATTCATTCAATTAATCAGTACTGATAGTCTAATAATCTAATTTAAATTAAAAAAAAGAAAATTTATGAAGGTAATTAAATTAGATACACATAAAGTATAATTTAGAGATGTATTTAATTATTGGTTGGTTACAAGAGGAGCAAAAATTAGTTCTGACTTTAATAAAAATAGTGAATTGCCCTCCCCCCCAAAAAAAACTTTTCTGGACTATTCTGGAAAAATAAAATCATTTTTTTTTTATTGAAATAATTTACAAAATCCTATTTTTTGTTTGTATAAATTAAAAAATTATTGTATTTAATTCTATATTATTTATGATATAATATACAAGTGCAATTAGCCTCCATCTTTCAAAACTACTTGCATTTGTTTGCAAGGGATATATAGTGTTTACCTAGGAGAAACAAAACTAATCTTAGTTTTAAAGTAACCTTATTAAATTTTTAGCTGAGAGTAAAGTTATCAAGTTAATCTAAGAGTAAAACTTAGTAATTACTGTAGATTCAATGTCATCTAAATTCATATTTTCTAACTCTGCTTCAAGTTCTTTATCAACATCTTCAAAATCATCATTAACAACTTTTGAGGGAACATAATCGTGTATGGGTTTTGTTATTATTAAGTCATCTTGTTTTTTTTCAATATCTAAAATTAAAAAAAAAATTAATGTTGGAAAACTTTTACAAATAAATAAAAGTGAAAAATAATTATTTTACATGTAGGTAAGAGTATATTTGATTTAAAATCAATATGATTATCTAAATTTAACATTGATTCTTGTGTACTGGATGATTTCATTTCTTCTATACAGTTTCTTTCATGATTTAACTAAAAAAAAATGTATGCAAATATTGTAACACAAAACAAAAAAAAAAATAATTGACTTACTGGAGTACTGACAAATGCTGTAGCTGGTAATTGTTTTTTTCTTTCATTAAGTAAATAAGCTTCTGTTTTTAATGCATCTTGATAGTTCGGAAATAAGTTTTCATACTCATCTGGATTAGCCAATGCTTCACTAGCTTTTATATTTGTTTTACTAAGAGAATCTTTCCATAAAGTAACAATGTATGACATTTTACTTGGCATATAAGACCGAGCAAAAAATGCTGCTTCGGGAAGTCTACCAGTATCTATTAATAGTTGTAAACATTTTTCTAAATCACCCAAAAGTAGGTATGATAAGAATGATATGTTATTCTTTCCATTTAAATGAGTACTTTCAGCTAATTTTTTTACCATTTCACTGTTTCCTAAACAGTAATAAATTTATTTGTAATCATAGGAAATAATACATTTTTTAAGTATTTTATTATGCAAATTAAAGATTAATAAATTACCAGAAGAAGTAGCTAATAATAATAAACCACCATAATCTTGTGCTTGATGTAAACATTCTTGAGCCAACTCTAAGTTAGCTTGTGCAGTTGCTAGTTCAGACAAATGTCTCCATTTTTGAGGACTAGATGCTTCTTTAGCCAACATATGAGCTTTCTCTAAATCTTGTAATTGAATAGCAAGTTCAAATTTATGCTCAACATCAGTTGATACAGCTAAGGCTTGTTTTTTATAACCCTGGTACGTATAATTATTCATTAAAAAAATGCATCTTAAAAAATAAAAATATTCGTTTATAATCTAGTTATTATCAGAATAAAATTGACTTAAACATAGCTTTTATTTTGATAAAATGAAAGAAATAAAACCTCTATTAAATATGAATTGTTAGCTTAAGTTAGAATTGTTATTAAATTTTCTGAAAATATTCTTTACTTGTTTTTCTAAGAAATGAGCTACTCTTGTTCTATATTGAGATGGTACTGATGGTAGTATACGATCTGCTATTTCAAAATCTTTTCTCATAACAGCAGTTTGATATTCTAATACAGATAGTAAAAGACTATATGACACAATATTCAATTCCTTATCACCTAAGTATAAACGGTTTTCTTTGGCAACATATCCTAGAAGATACATTGTGCGGTCAAGATGAGAAACTGTGACAATTTCACCACCAACATAATAATTGATTCGATTAACACCATTAGTATAAATAAAACAATCTCCAACCCATAATCCAGTTTTAACAACTTCTTGCACTTCACCCAACACCTACATAAAAAATTCATCATTCATTTAATTATAATTATTTAACTAGTAAGAATTTAAATTACTTCAAATGCATCTTCCAACCCATCAGGACCAGCAGATTCAAAATTAGATGCCCTTGCAGTACCAAGTACATTTACATCAAAACGAAGAATAAAATATGCTTCATCAGTAGCAAGACAAACTAATTCACCTGACTCTGACCAGAATACATGCCTTGGTTGCGTTTCAATTCTTCGCACCAGATTTCCATTTTCCCAGTCATATAATGCTAACCCAGTTACTGACTTTACACCAAGTAAATATCCTCCAAATATACCATCAGCTCCACCCTCAGGTTTAAAAGACCTTTTTTCTTTAAAGTTTTTAAAAACTTTGATTGTTGAAGAATTTTCTCTAATGGCATATTCAGAATCAGATGACCATACAAAATCTTGAGCAGATCCAAAAGCTTTATTACGTAAAGCCATAGAAGTGTATATTATATATTCTCCATCACCACATACAACTAAGAATCGACCATTTGGATTATGAGATATAGACTGTGGGTATATTTCACAGCTTCCCATATCTTTAACTTGAATTGGCAAACGTTCACCATCTTTTATTTCAGTTCCCTCAGTTTGCAACATCATCTTCAAATTAGCTTGTTGAATTTCACTATGACGTGCCCAAACAATTTTACCACCATGGACATCCATTGACATAGCTGGTTCCTCCCTACCAACTTTTACCATGATACTGCCTTCATCATATCTATAATAAAAAACTAAATAATCATACATCATTTTTTTATATTTTAACCTTTTTTAAACTCTACCCTAATGCTACACTATTTGAACCACGTAAACAGCAAATTGTCCACACACGTTCTAATCCATAGTTTAGTGATGATTCTAATCTATAAGTACCAGAATGCCAAATACGAACTGTACCATCTTCAGAACCAGTCAATACAATAGGAAGTTCAGGATGAAAGCAAACTAAAGACAATTTTTAATACTTATGTTAATAAAAGAATTTTAAGCTAGAAAAACTGTTTAAGAGATATACCAGCGGATATATTTTGTGCATGTCCTTCTAAAGTTTGTACACAGGTTTTGTTTTGATAGTCCCAAATTTTTACTAGTCTGTCATCTGCACCTGATATCAAGTAGGGTTTATCTCCAGCATGATAATAATCAACACAATTTACTCCTTTCTCATGTCCGTCCAATGTGAAATTAGGGGTTGGGGATCCAAGTTGCCATACTTTGATAGTACGATCTAATGAAGCACTAGCAAAAGTGTTATTATCTTTTGGATTTATCATAATTTGCATAACATAATGAGTATGACCCTCAAACACCTGCTGACATGCCCATTGTTTTTCCCAATTCCATAGCTTGATTAGCATATCATCTAAAATTATATAAATTGAGAGAATTAAATAACATAAGACCATAATGTTAATTATACAGAAAGTCATATAACCTAGGTTCATAACTAATAACCGTTTTTAATTCCATAAAGACTAATATAAATGTAGATTTATTAATATTAAAATATTGCCTTGTAACTTAATTTTACTGGTATCAATGACACCAAGAAGAGAGGTAAGTTTGAAATTTTTATTCTTAGATCAAACTCATTTTACCCAAAAATTGATCTACGCCACACATAATTTAGAAATATCTTTCTGACAGTCTATTATTGCCTGCATCTTTAATACATCTTTATCAATGAATATTAAAATACCTAGAGATGAAGCAAAAGTATGAATTTTTTTATTATTAAAAATTTCTTGGTCTCTCTTTTCTCTCATCCCAAGTATAAAAATGTTAATAACTTCTAAAATATTGGTCCATAAGCTGTTATAGATCAATAATTTTCTATGATATAAGCTAACTTATGTTATCATTTATAAAATAAAATTGATATCTTTTTAAAGGATAAATGATGTACTACAAAAATATTTAATAATTAAGGTCTGAATTTTAATACATATTGCAAAAAAGTTAACTTACATATAATGGAGAATTATATGTATAAAATTAATGTATATAATGGAGAATTAAAAAATGATACTATTATCTTGCATAATATTACATTTTTTTGATTTTTAAGACAATTTTAGATTATATTAACACACTTTAGAGCATAATTAGAAAAAATTAAGTTTTTTTATTAAAATTATATAGATTAAAAGCGTGTTCTGGAAAGGTATAAAACAATTTTTATATGTAGTATTTTTCTTTATATGCAAGAATAAGTTATTATATATATCTGATAGGGTTGGCTTAGCCCTCAAAAATGATGAAAATCACCTTTATTTTTATACAAGGTGATCATGAAGTTATTAACAATTAAAAGTAATGACTGGACGTTAAGCAGTGTTGCTATTTTTATCATCTGTCTTTTCCTAACCATACTCTATGTTCCGCTTATGTATAAAAATGACAACTCCTAAAGTACTAGTCTAAAAATTGTTATCGACCAGTTATTTTCTAAATTAGATTATTTTCTATTTTATAAACTAGTTAATATGTATGTTAATATTATATGTATGTTGCCATTAAAAAAATTAAGTTGACATCCCATTAAGTTATAAGTTATGATTTTGGAGAATAATTATTAGTTAATAAATCATAAAATATGTGTAACTAAAAAATTCAAAATATTTTTTCGAAATTGTATTTATTTTGCGAATATTTGATTGGTTTATAATAAAATGAATCCTCTGTGTTATTATTTTTTGTTAGGAGGAAATAAATTGAGTTAAATTACCTAAAAATTTTGTTTTAGTTGCACTTATCAAATATTATGTTTAAAATACTGTATTTTTAAAATATAAAATCTTATTTAACTAAGTATTAATAATAGTTTTAATATAAAAATTAGTCAATGTCTTTATTTAATTAATATATTATCAATATATTTTATTTCAAGGCAATTTTATAGAGGATATATTAATATTTTACATGACATTTTTTAATTTCTGGAGCGTTTTTATACTTTTAATACACTTTTGTAAGGCAATTATAGAAGTTTTAAAAAATATTTTTCAATTTTTTTTTTTGAGCATTTCAGTCAGGGTTCTATTAATAATTCATAAATTAAAAAATATATATAACTTAAAATAAATAATCCCTATTTTTTTTTCATTTTGTAAGCAATTTTATAAATAGATTATCCTATGCAAGTATATCTATCTCAGATATATATCTCATACAGAATATCATTTTTCTACTATTTATTTTAACATAATATAGATAGGCATCAAGCTGAAACATTTTAGAGGCAATACTGTGATTGTAGAATAAAATAATACAAATTATAAATTGACCCAGAGATTACAAGTATACTAGAATTATTATATACAATGCATGTATATAAACATTGAAATTAATAAAATAAAATATATTTAAAATATATTAACAACATACCACTACTTGTTAGTATAAATGGTTGTGTTGGATGTACAGCAATACTTCTTAAATAATCAGAGTGAGCATCCAGCTGATGAACTCGCTCTAATGTATTATAGTTGATAACTCGCAATTGCATGTCGTCTGAACCCGTAACTATCCAGTTTTTTCGAGCAACAAAACGAGCTGCCCTAACAGGTAATTCACAAACCTGTAAAAAAAATAGTTTTGTTAATTTCATAATGTTACTAAAATTAAATACTATGATACTTGCTTCGTAAGATTTAATGAGAATAGCTGTCTCATGATTCCAAATATGTACATTTCCATTATAAAGTGATGCTAACATCCATGGTTCTTTTGGATGGAGATCAACACATTTAACACGATCTGACCTAGCAGTTAAGTTACGCTTAATATCTAAACGTAGCGGCTGAAATATTGAATTACATTTATAAATTTAACTATCAAATTCTTAGTTTTAAAATAAGTTTAATTAGTTTACCATCTCGTTTACAAGTGTCAAAAATACAATTAAGATTTAAGTTCAATATTACTTCATACAATTTTATAAACACATCTGTTCGTAACACTTCAAAAAAATAACTTTATTATGAGTGAAAAAGTGAAATACAATTATTACAAAAAAAAGGTTGGATAATGTTGTCGTCGGCATACTCGTTATCAGTATTATGTGTGAGATTATCAGCGGTCGTGGACGTGTACGACAGTGTACCAACATGAGCACCTAAAAAATATTTTATTAAATTGAATCTAATCTACAGGTTGTGAAGAAATGCTACGTTTTTGGATTACAACAGGTTTTACTCTCCTCTTGTCCATTCACCATTTCCTTACAAATCTATAATAATAATACCATCAAGTCATCAACAATCCTCTGTAGTGTTCTATCTACGCGCTACGTTGTTCATTTCTGTGCTCTGTTATGAAGCCTTAAAAATATTCCCGTTATATGTTAAGAGCTATATATTTTTTGTAATGACAATAACGACATTGGCATATCGCAAATTTCGAGGTCGCATATGGATTTGTTTTGATTTGATGACGCGCTGTAAATATTTTCCGTATTGTTGACGTCAAAAATTTTCAATGACAATTTTTTATAATATTACAAATCAAATGATATCTTTTTGCAACTAGTCACGTTAATATTTTACTCATAAGATGCATTGTCAGTTCAATGGAGTCGGATCAATGGGAGATTCCAACAGGAAAACTAGTGACACGTTGCCCAAACCCGGAAAAGTCGATGCAGGTAAATATTTTACTTATAACAAAATACGTTCTGCATCATAGTTTCCACTACTGTGAAAGTGCGAGTACTCTTAACCATTTTGGTGGCCTTAATTTTATAATAGGAAAGTATTTTTTGGGGTTAGTAAGCTACTTTCTCTATTCATATTTAAGAATAAAGACATTATTATATGTTTTTTAAATTAAGTATAAGTATTCTTATAAACAATTCGAATGCTTTTTGTTATATCAAATAGACATTTGTTATTTGTGTAGTTCCTATAATAGACCAATTAAATTGAAAATTTGTTAGAATAATTAAAATTATTTAAAAATACCATAATACTGAATACTTTATAAAAAATTTACCTATAAAAAATATCTGTTCTTAATTGTTAAAAATAATCTAACATATATAAGTCATAATAAAAATAATAATTATTAATAACAATACACTTTTTATACGTAAATAACTGATTTTACCTATTTACAATAAAAAATTTCCTTTATAACATCAAACAATTAAATTTAATATAAATATTTAAAAATAAATACAACTTGATTTCAGTAAGATCATAAAATTGACACCCAATCATTTTAAAAGTTAGGAAATATAATATATTTTTAGTATTTAAAGTCAAATAAGTATAATAATAAAAAAATTACTATTTTAAAATAGCTACCTGAATTAACTAATGATATCATAATAATAATATTTAAATACTTATAAATATTGCTATTTAATTTAGTTATTGTTACTATATATTTTAATTTTGTATAATCTTATAAATCTGTGCTTTAAGTACACTTAATTACCACCACAAATAGAGAGATGCTTTGGGTACTTAACACTTCCAAATATTAAAAAAAAAAGTTATATCTATGATTGCAAAAAAATATTTTTATAGAGGGGTAAATTATATTTATTACACCCGAAAATTTTGTATTATTTATATTTTTATGCTAAATGTTATTTTAGCAATATATTTTCTGTGTTATAATCTAGTTGTAATTTTAACTCATAAGCCTCCACATAAATTGTTCAATGGGTCTTAAAGGCACGATCTGGGAGAGTCAAGAAAGAATTTAGCTGCCCAAAAAATTATAATAATTACATGTAAATTTCAAGGAGATAAATTAAGTTAAAACCTAAAATATTTTGTTCAAATTGCACTTTAGGTGGGGCTTATAATCTTTTCAAAGCATTAAATCCAAAGAAAATAAAAACTAGGTAATTTTACTTTGCCCTGAAAAGTAGTTTCGAGACAAATTTGTTTTATCAGAAACCAATTAACTAATTGTTTTATTTTTTAAGTAGTACAATTATATTAATTAATATTAATATAATCACTATTATAACATATTAATATCAACTAATGTATAACTTATAGGATAGGAAAATGTAAATATTTTTTTGTTAATTTCTGTATATGAAGCTTCAATTTTTACTTAAATATTATAAACATTTTTTTGTAGCTCAAGGCATTTATATTAACAAACATAAGTTTTACATAAAAGTACATTTTAACCCTGATTCTTTTGAATAAATTTGTATTCTACAATTATTTTTATTTAAATAGCTTTTTAAAATTAATTTTCAATGTGTGTTATACTACTAAACTAAGCTTTTTATATTGATTTAAGTTAACTTAAAAGAAAGGGAATAAATGTAAATAATATTATTTATTTTATTTAAATTTATAGTACCGATTAACATGTTAATCTAAAATAATTGTGTTACAACATTGACATAATTTTATATTCTTCTAACTAAAATTTTCCGATGTATCGTCTTTTAAATTATTTTTTGCCAAGGATTTTCCATATTCTTCCAAATAGTGTGCCATAGATAGTTGAGTTTGTCCAATTCTATGTAAGCATCTATTGTTTATTTTATCAAGTAATCCAACTAAATGAGCTCTTGCATTATCTATTGTACCCAAACTTGCATAGTCTTCAAGTTGTGTTTTACTCAAGAATTTACCATCTACTATTCCAGCTAATAAAATTAGGTGTGGCATTTTTTTGATCATCTGTAATAATTTTGGTACTTGTAAAGTACTACTGAAAAGTATTGAACTATGTGAATGAAACAATTGTAAAACTGCTTCATAATTGGTATTAGTTAAAGCCACCTTTAATGTACTTTTACCATAAATAGTCAAGTTCATTCCAGACATTTTAAATGTTTTGTAAGACTTAAAATCTTTTTCAGCATTTACTGGGTTCTTGTGAAATACTGCTACCATTGCACTCTGTTCAAAAAGTTCACGAACTTCTTTTGCTAAAATGCGTTCATATGGATTATCTTCCACAGACTTAAATTTCTGAACTAGGGGTTTTGGACATCTTTCAGTCCAAGGCATCTTATGGGGAATAGGCCAGTCAAATTTTGGCTGAATAATAGCGTTTATTGTAGCTCGATAATGATGTGGTGCTCGTGGTTTTTGCACATTTATTCTTCTATGCCTAACACTTATCACAGTCGGTATAAAAGTTTTGGTGCAAATAACTTTTACTGAACTACTTAACATGTTATTTTTTTTTTAGAGTAAATTAATTATTCGTCAACTGTTAACTAATTAATAAAAATGTCTTTAAATAATGTTTATTTCATTAAATAATTCTAAGATACATTGCATATAAATTAAATGTTAAATAAAAACTAATAATTCTAGGAACAATTAATTAATAGCCACTCAATTTTGCAATCAAATTTGTGAATAAAAAAATATTAACTTACGGATAAATATTTTGATAAATAACCTCAATTTTATACGTCCACAGAAACAGTGTGACCATGTAAAAAGTAAGATAGATATCACCGATCATATTTTTTTTCTTGAATTGTCGCTTCTACATAAAGAATTGTTCACGTATAAGTACTTGGGTACTGTATACATGTCATGAGAAATTTTAATGTTAATTAAATTCGTGTTAAGTCCTTTTTAAATTTTATATTTTCTTATTATATTCAAAGTTTTAATATTGTGTTATTTCTAAAATTCTTCAAAAAATAACAAAATATTACACATTTCATTTTACTGTTATTAATTAATGTTAAGGTTCAGTTGACTTAAATGACTTTTATTAATTATATTTTTATTCAATTATTATTCAAATAATTAAAGTAGTTTATTACATCTACTAAAAATTACATGATTGTCGTTTGTAGAGGCCGATTAATCATAGAAGACAAGTTGTCGGAACGTCGTTTAAAAAAATTCTAAAATATGCTAGTTTTACTAAAAATTTTGGTTTTAATGCCCTATAATTTCTAGAAATCATGATTTCGAATTGTTTTTTATCTTATAGTAGATTACGTTAGCTTTAATTTAATGTAGGTTTCTTAAAAAATTATTAAAATTTGAAAAGAGAAAAATTTTAATATGATTTTTAAGCCCTAACAAAATCTTTGTTAATGATTGGATTTCCCAAAAAACATGTAATCAACAAGGCAAATGTTTGAAGTATTATCATTTTGCTATAATCCGTCCAGTTTTAAAAAAATGTATAAAGTAAAAACTAAAAATATAAATACCGGGACTAAGGAATTTTTCAAAATAATGTCGTTGATGGAAGCCATCAAGTTGAATCAACTAGATACGTTTTATGGTTGTATCGTTGATCAAAATAGGACCAGTAGGAGCAGTTTTTTATTTTACCAAATAAAAAAATTATTGCATCTGGACCCCTTCATATTAGATTTCTTATAACGCTACTTTATCATGGCCTAGTATTGATAAAGAAAGTTTTTATAAAGTAATCATCCCCAAAATCTCCATCTAAATACTTTTCCTGGTATATTGCGACTAACACAGTCGCAATATACCTTGTGCAATATATATTGTGTTAATAATATGATAAATATTATTGTAGATAAGTATTAACTTTATAATTAAGTGACAGTAATTATCAACACACAATACGTTTATAATTACTATTTACAACTTAATGAATATTATGTACTCAGTATTATAAAATCTATCGAATTAATAACATCGATTCATCATTAACCATGTAACATATAAACTAAATGAAATTTAAAATACTTTACAGTAAATAAAAATAGTCATGTTGTTACACTTGAGTTACAACAAATTATTTAGTAATAATTTGGGAACAACGTTGTTTCGGTCCGTTAACAGACGCGCCAGTTAATGGTGTTGTGTCCATTGGGGTAAAAAAAAAGAAGTAGTGGGGCGATGAACAATCAACAAGTCGCCATCGGTCTATAGATGTTTTCTAACAATGTCAAGCGGCATACGCGGTCCGTCGTCAGAAGTGGCTTGTATTGCGTTTGATTGTTTATTTTAATGTTGCTCTGTGTATCGTTTCTTAAAAAGTTTTATTTTTTATAGCTATTTTGTGACTATGATATTTTTGAATGTATTACTTCGTTGAAAATTTTTAAATCGCCTGGGTTTGTAGTATTATTTACATCTCATCGCGTCTTTGGCAGATGGTTGAATTTAAGGACATTTTTCGAACCCTTGGAATTCATATGGATAACTGGGGGGTGACGTTGGTTGAAAATCAAAACCACCTGCTGGTTGCCTCCAGCAACAGGTAGCTATGCGTTTTCCGTATACACCCATGGAACTATGGCTTTTGTCTGAAATACTGATGGTTCGATTGAATATTACATCACCATTATCTGTAATTTTCATTGGTAATAAACATATCTGGGGTCGACTTATAAATCTACTACGGGCTACTAAAAATATTTGTGAGGAAACGCTGAAGTTTCATTTAACGTGATGTCGTACCAACCGGTTGGTAAACCTGATACCCACATAAACCCGATAAACATGCGTGCGCACACTGAAAATCGTCCAGGCGTGAAGCACTGTGACTAACACAATGAACATCATACAGGCCAGGTAGTTTTATTCCTCCGTCTCTTAGTAATTATATTCTCACAGGCTATTCATTTTAGTTCATTCCGGGTGTTTATACAATAGCCCACTAACATTTCTGTTTCGACGCTACGGATACCACGTTACAATGGATGTGTAGGTACCTACATTTATTTTATATGTAGGTAACATAATTTTTTCCTTTAATTAATTCGGCTATCTTCATTTTTTATTAGTTTCTAATTATTATTTCTTTTGAGAAAAATTGTATCTTCTGGTCTTAATATTATTAATAATGATTTTAAATTTCTTTAAATATTATTTTAGTGTGTAAGGAATGGATAGTTCACGAAGATGGTGCATTGGCCTATCAATTACAAAAACTGGAAGGTAGGTACCCTATCATATTTATATTTTATAGGTAGTTAAAGAGTTTATGTTTTGTTTTTATTATTTTTCCTCTAGTGGACAAACATTACAATGACAATCGATCACGAAATGCTATTGTTCGGCAAGACTTACCAACTGCTCGAGAAGAGCAAGAACGTGAAATACGTGAAGCTGAACAACGTTATTGTGCTTTCATTAAAGAACAGTAAGTTGAGCTGTTCTTTATTTGTTTATTAATAATTTATTATTCTCTATACATATTATAGGGAGAAGAGAGATCTTAAATTAGCATTGGAGTTAGCGGAACATATAGCAAAGAAAAAAAATGCCAATGAACTTAGCTTAAAAATGCCTACTCCAATAGAAAATGTTCGACATGGTATTTTAAAAAAATCAAGTTATCCAGTTCATGTGAATAGGTATGATATAAATATTAAACAGCCCATATATCTTGGTTAGGAAATTATTATGCATATATTCAAAACATGCATAAAATAAAAAATCACACCTCCTCAATATTTCTATCTTTTTGAATAAGTATTAATTTTTTTTTTTAATTTACATATTAGTATTTTTCATACATACAGTATGAAAAATACTATTTAAAATTTTATTGCCTGAAATACATGCACCCTTATGCTGTTATAAACACCTAGCCTTAGTGCATTATAAAAACCTTATATTTCTCATTTTTGTATTTTATTCTTTCTAATTAAACCATTTACTTACAAAAAAGGGTATATAAAATATAAATTAAATATAACTTAATTTTGCATTACATTTCAATTTTTGTTTAGCAGGTTAGAAGAGACTAAAGAATATACCGAGTTAGATATTGATGATATTTTAAATGATATTGAATATGAAGAAGAATGTAAGCGACATATACAAGAAGAAAAAGATGCTGTGAGTATTGAAATATTATTTTATTTTGACAAATTTTGATGTTGAAGAGTACATATATGACTGAATGTGTTTGACGGGTGTAGTCTTTAGTGCACGTTGATTTTGAAATTCGTGACTAGAGTTACACTCGTCAAATTCAGTTAAATAACCTACAATAGATACGATTAATAATCAATTAAATAATAGGTTTTAATTCAAGCAATAACCAGATTCTTTGAAGAATCAATTATCAATTTAAAGACTTTCAATTTCCATTGACTGTTATAAAATGTTCATATATTGTTAATATATTAAATACATAAAACTAAATGTTTCATTAAAATAATTTTATGAAATTTTTTCCTGTAAGTTAATTCATTAAGGAATTAACTTGAAAAATACAAAGATACAAAAAGCCAATGGAGAGAGTGCATTATAAATTATAACACATTACTCAAGATTCTCCTCTTAAATTAAATTATTTTTAAAAACTCAATCTTGTTATGTTAGGAATTGGCAAGGAGACTTCAAGAACAGGAACGTCCTTTATCTGTTGAAGATCGAGATAGATTAATTGCTATTGAAACACAAGATTGTGAGTTGGCTAAACTTTTACAAGAAAAGGTATGTTTATGTTTATAGTCTTTCTTATTTGATTAAATCTATTGTTAATTTATATAACTTATATAGGAAAAGGCAAAGTTAAGGAGAGCACGCGAAAAAGCAAAACAAAAAGCATTATTAAGAAAATACCAGCAATTAGAAAAGTTACCTGAAAGTGAAAGTCCCGTTCAACCTGAATCACTTTCTAATATTGCAATTGCTATTGATCCTACCTATAGTCCTAGGAATTTAGAAGCATATGAGGCACCTAGTAATTTATAAAAAAATAAATGTTTTAATAGTTATAATTATTTATTTATTTTTTAAATTTCAGCTTCATCGAGTAATGTTCCACCAATGGTTGATATTTCACCATACATGCCTATTCAAGGACAACGAAGAAATCAATCTGAAAAGAAAAAAAAATCTAAATCTTCAGATGGTGTTACTTCATTTTTTAAAGTATTTAAATAAGTAAAAATGTGATATTTGTTTTTGTATTATTAGTTTTAAAATATGTCTTTATAATAATTATAAATCAAAATATTTTCTGTTATTCCACCAAATTTTTCAACTGTGTTCATGGTTTTTCTTTATTTATTTATCTATAATGTTAAATTGAAGTTTTCAATTTTTATCTAAGAAAAATTATAGATAGTATTCATAATTATAATTTGAAGTATTATTAGTTATTTTCATAATGTGAAATTAAAATGAATTTAATATACTTATATCTAAATTATCTCAATTACAATTTGTGTAAGCTTAATTGCTTTTGCTTATATTCATTTGCGATTAAACAGATTATGGTAAAATTAACATGGGCTTAAATCGAAGAATTAAGTAGGAATATCTAAACATGATTTAAAGTAAACTTTAATACCACTGATAAATAAATCTAGACTTGAGGGAAGTATGAAAATGGAATACCCTCCTCCCTTGGTGGTGACAGCTTTTTAAACTAATATAGTCCCAGTATTTTTGCACCAGTTGATACTTATACAAGACATTTTTATTGTACCAATGCTTAGAGCCCCTACCAGAAAAAATGTCTGAATTCAATATTAAATAAAACTTGGAATATAGAAATTCATGGACGCCTATCTCATAGAATTCAAAAAAGATTTTTATTCGCCAAACATTTTTTTAAATTATATTTCAAAATAAATAAATAAATGTTACTTTAATCTAATATATTGAATAATTATACAGTATGAATAAATGCCAGTTTAAACAAAAATTAACTGTGAAATATAGGAATCCTACCGATTGCAATGAATAATTTTGTTGTCAGTTGTCATAGCAAACTAGTATACACTGTAATAAAAAAAAAAGGTTAACCAAACTTAGTAAAATATATTTAACCCGACTAAAAAGTAGATTTTTTATTGCGTAAGTTTTGATGCAAAGCTGAAAAGGGATTGGCTATACCATGATGTGTTATTTTTTTGTATCTATTCATGAAGTTTTAAGATCTTGCTGGGCCAATTTTGTTGGTTTATGCTTCTGATGAACACTATTTTAATCTAATTAAATCTATCATCGCTTTAATTTGGAAAAAGTATTTAAATTTTAGAAAATTAAGAAATATCTCAAAATTACAATACCATAAAAAATAAAATTTTCAAAAAAAAATTGTCTGTATTTTAAAAAAACTTAATTATTTTTTATTTAAAACACTGATCCTGATGAAGTTTTAAAAGGGTATATTGAAGACTGTGAAAGAAAACCCATTGAAAAACCTAAGTAAAGGATGTAGTGACGTATTCACGGGAGAACTATGTGGTCCAGACCCCATGAACTTGAAATCAAAATAGTGGGAAGTAGTAGAATATTGAATGTTCCCACTATTCTCCGTTGTAAAACATATCAATATGTTAGACATATTTATTTTCAAATTTTATTAAAAAAAAATATATATACACTAATTTTTTTTAAAAGAACCACATTTTTGAAGAAACCACCATATCTTCTAAAGGATTTGCCCTCTTATAAGTTGTCTACTTATTAAATATCGAGACGTGTATTAAAAAATTATTTGAAATTTCAAACTAATTTAAGTATAATGGGTTAAAATTAAACTAATTATAATTAAAGTAAAATCTTTTAATAATGCGTATTAAGTAATATAAATTATTTATCTCTGTCATAGTATTTCGCTTTTCATGTATATAAATCAGTGTTGGGAAAGTTCCTTTTTAAATGGAATTCGTTCCGTTCCCCGTTCATTTTCTAAAATATGAACTCGTTCCAGATCCTAATTCTTTATATTAAGAAGGAACTTGTTCCAGATCCAGTTCCTCCAAAATAAGAACTCGTTCCACTCTTCGTTCCTTTTATAAGTTATTTAAAAAATTGTGGCAATGAGATCATGATAACGGTCATCAATGATTTTCATCAGCAGTCGAATACAAAACAAATTTGTAGTATTCCTTATCTAAAAGTATTCGAAAATTATATTTATAAGCAGGTAGTAAATGCTAACGACTTGTGTCAACGCGACCAATGTCTATTGTCTACATATAAGTTAGAAATAATAAATCAGAAAACCCAAAACCTTTAACATAAATTAGTTAACAAGAAACGACGATAATATTCGGTGCATTATTTAATATATGTACACATATATTAAATATTTACTGTATACCTACATGTGATAATAACTCTATCTATAATCAATTGATTCATTTAAACAGCCTACGATCTCGGCTGGGTATATAGGGGACTTCCATTGTCAAAAGTCAACTAAAAATACCATAATATTTTAATGTCTAGATACGAAGAAAACTACACTAAAACATGTTTATAAAAAATTTTAGGAACTGTAATTTCCGTTCACGTTCCTTAAAAAATGGAATTTGTTCATTTTCCTCGTTCCTTTATTTTAAAAGGAAGCAGTTCCTAGCATCGTTCCTTCAAAAAGAACTCGTTCCAGGAATCCGTTCCTTTTGGAACTAGTTCCTTCTCAACACTGATAAAAATATATTTTGCATTTTCAGCATAATCGTTAAAAATTTGTTTAAAATTTCATCAGCTAATATAGTTGCTAATTAAAATTTATGTTAACTTTTTGCAAATGTTTTGAAATAGGTAAACCAAAACCTGATAATAAAATTAACGCAATAATAAATTTTCCATCTAACATTAATTTTTGTCAACCTTTTTCCACCAGTATCGTTATCATTCCAACCTGATATTTCAGAAAAAGCACTGTTTAGGAAATATGTAAAAAATTTAGAATTTCATTAATTACATTTAAACAGTTCATAATTAGCCGTACACTATATGATTTTTAATGTCGATGAAACGGGCTTATTTTTTGAATGCGCACCAGATAAAACATTAATGATAAAAGGTAAAGAATGTTCGGGTGGAAAATACGGTAAAGAACGCATTACAATTATAGTGGGAGCAAATATGTCTGGAACTTAAAAACTGAAATTATTTGTCATTGGTAAAGCAAAGAAGCCTAGTTGTTTTAAAGGAATTAAATCTTTACCAGTTGACTATAGGTCAAATAAAAAGGCTTGGATGACTTCGTCGTTATTTAGTGAGTGGCTTTTAAATTTTGATAGAAAAATGAAATTAGAAGATCGAAAAGTTCTACTATTCATAGATAAAGTACAGCTCATAATCACGATATTAAATTAAGTTCCATTAATGTACATTTTTTACCACCAAGTACAATACTATACTTCAGCCCATGGACCAATGCGTTATAAAGAATTTCAAAATGTTTTATAAGAAAGAAATAATCAGACCGGTTTTAAAGACAGTGATATAATTGCATTAGATAACTCAACTACTATTTCTGATGTAAATAGAATTTTGTTGCTAATCATATTAATTTAGACGACAGAAGTTTTTCACGTTATGTGAAAATGGACAGATAACGAAATTTTATCAGACACCATCGAAAATACCAGCGAGAGTAAAGACGAACCACAAAATGAGTAGGAAGTAATTTTTGAAGTTACAATTCAACAAGCTAAACATACTTTAAAAACACTAAGGAATTTTGTTGAGACAACTACAGGTATGGAAGATGAGGCTTTTTCTGCTTTATCTAATTTGGAAGACGTCATGACAGAAAGAAGTAATATTAAGCAAACTTTAATGACACATTTAAAAAAAAAAAAAAATTTATTCAGTCATTTTAGTATTTTTAGTATTCAATTTATATATTTTAGGCATCCATATTATTTATTATTCTTATACATTATACAACATACATTTATATTATTTTTTTTTTTTTTTTATTAAAACTCGATATCTCGAACTTTTTTCTGTCCCCTTTGATATTCGACATAACGAGAATCTACTTTTAAATTTTATTATCACAAGACTTCCTAAATACTTGAGAATTGAGTCCACCTCGAGAACTCGAAATCGCAGCTCAAAACTTAAAATTTATTTCTCGTATTCAGATTTTCTTTAATACATTATTGATTTCATTTGGTGAAAGTATTTTGTTGCAAAATAAACTAATATTATAATTATTATGATTTAATGGAGAAAATAGATTTCCACAACCGCGTTAAATTTTTTTACAAGTATCAGAAGGCGGAAGTGGTCTTTTAGCAAATAAAATGTTTTCCAACATATTTATTGGGATATTATTAGAATTTTCAATAGATTTAGAAATAAAATGTTGAATAAAGGATTGCTTTTTACATATTTTATTTTAAAAAAGTATTACTTAGTAGTTAGTACTTATTGATATTTCAATTTTATTTAATTCAGTTAGTAATTCAGCCAATAGTGTAGTGCCGCACAATTCTAGCCTTGGTATGATTGATGGATGCACAGGCGCAACTCAAGACTTTGAAGTGAGAAGTACTAAGGACCATTTAGCTTTGGTTGTCATTACTCAAATATACAATCATCCACCAAATGAATTTGGGAGGCATCACAGAAACCATGTAATTGAATAGATTGTGAGGGTTGATATTCGACAGATCATGGGATATTGAATAAAGCAACTTGCTCAAAAGATCGATAGAATAATTCCCATCTTGACTGAAGGTCGGCTGTAAGATGTGTTTCCCAATCCAACTTAAGTGACCACAACTGTTGCATAAAAATTTTGTCTTTAATTAGAATAGGTGTTAAGAACCCAAGTGGATCATACACTCTATTCATATAAGACAAAAGAGTGCGTTTTGTCATGTGTTTAACAGGAACCCATTCTTTCGATGAAAATTTAAATTGATCCAATGCAGGCTGCCATAATAGACCCAAAGCACTTACAGTATCTTCATCATTTAAACTCAGTAGATAAGTTGGATCAGTATTGGACGCAGAAATGTTATTGAGAACTTCTTGAGACTTTGAACACCATTTTCGGAGAGGTATTCCTGCACCCAGCAACATCTTTGACGCATTTTGGTAGAGCTGAATACATTTTTTAACACTAGTAGCGCCACTAATAAAATCATCAACATAGGAGTCTTTTTTGATTGCACGTTTCACTTCAGGCTCCTGAAGAACTTGATTAGCTAGCTCTGTGAGGCAACGAGTAGCCAGAAATGGAGCTGACTTTGTTCCGTAAGTTACAGTTAACAATCGATAGTGTGTGAGAGGGAGATTTGAACGAGAACGATATACTATACGCTGGAAATCACAATCAGCAGGATCCATACGTACTTGTCGATACATTTTTTCTACGTCCGCCGTGAGAACGACTGAATGAAGACGATAGCAAAGTATAATTGAGTACAGATCACTTTGAACAGTAGGGCCACGCATCGTGATATCGTTAAGTGATACACCAGAAGAAGACGTTGCAGAACCGTCAAACACTACACGAGTCTTGGCTGTTGTGCTACTTAACTTTACAATTGCATGGTGTGGTAAATAGTAAACACCTGTGTCTTTTTCGTCCTCTACAACTTCCATATGTCCTCTTGATAGATAGTCTTGCATGAATTTATCATATTTCAATGCTAATTTTTCATCCCGTTCTCCAAATTATAGATTCTAGTACGATCCATTTGAAGTGAGCCACCCAGTTTATCTATATCCTTTGCTAAGGGTAGTTTAACAACAAATCTTCCATTTTCATCTCTTTTTACAGTGGCCTTTGTAATATTCTCCTCTGGAAGTTCAAAAAGTTAATACCTCTTTTATTTTTCAGACCACGGAAAAGAATGCACTAAAACTATGACGCATTTAATTCTGACTTTTGGCGACTAAAAATAGCCGCGAGTCATTGTCTTTCTTACCGTCTTCGAGACACCACTAAAGTATTAAAAAAGGAAAATTAATTATAAGAACCCTTTGCGTTTATCAAAATACAGAATAATGACTGAATGTGCCTATAAATAAGTATGACACATTCAAGACGCACATTTCCCGTTTATGACTTTCGTGGTGCATTATATAAGGGCTGAAGACCCTGTTTTTCCAGTCAGTCACTCATTCACTTTCTTGTCTCTTATTCTCAATTAACAATCTCATTTATCAAGTTAAACTCTTTAAGATTATTCCCTACGTACCCTAGCGTATTCTTTATACTGTGTCTTCATAGACTTAACCTTCTCACTAAGTATAAAACGTACATTTGTTAAAATAACTAACTCTTTATTTAAAATATATACGCTTATATAATTCCCGTATAATTTTCTTTTATTAACATACCTACTATAATTTTAAATAACACTTAAGAACTTTAAATCACTAGCTGATATTTTATCATCACTGTTCCAGCGGATATCAGCTAAGAGTAGTTTTAACACATTAATTACACTAAACAAGTAATAACTAGGAACAAAGTAATATAAATTAATAACAATAGATAATTTTAAATAAAAATAATGATGTTAGCAATGTCAGCAATTTATTTACGGTAACTCAGTTTGATTTATTGTTGTACAATATTTATCAAACAAATCCAATAAAAATATTTTATCATAATAAGTTAATTACTAAGGTATTATACAATTTAGACAAGGAATATATAGTTAATATTGATACAGAAAATTATGAAATTGCAATAGTTGATATATTAAAAAATATTACTGTGGTTACAAAAACAATTAGTAATTTTAATTTAATTTTCATAAAATGGAATAAAAGAAAATAATTGCCATATGTACAAAGAAGGAGTAATACACATAAGTAGCATCCAATAAGATGGCATAAGATTGCCATGTTTTTTTTTACTGTTTTTATTTTGATTCCTAAAATGCTATATTTTGTTTTAACTTATTAATAAAAAAACTGTGAAACAATTTAAGTAAATAAATTTAAAAAATCATTTACAAAAAAATAAAATGTAATTGAATAACAAAAAAACAATACGATTTTATTAGTGTGATGCTTTATTATTGCCAGAATGCTTAAAAATATTATCTATTATTTTGTTAAATGTTCTTTCGTGTTCAGGTATTATGATTTGGCCAAACAAAGCATCTAAAAAATAAACAAACATTAGTACATATAATAACTAGTAAATATATTTGTATAGAATATACAAGGGTTCAAAAATTAAGGATATGGGTTCCCATTGTTCGTAACAATTGACTTGTTTTTCTTTATTTATGGAACATATAGTATATCTATACAACAAATGGACGAAGCACAGGCAAAACATGTTGTATAGAAGGGACTATTTCATAGAAGAGTGTGGGGATGTCATATCCCCTAAAGTTTATTAAAATCATAAGACGGAATTTTTAGTATAAATTGTAGAATTTTGTACCCATGACAGTACTTTGTCGGCAAAATTCACTTCACACCCTCCTAAAATTTACTACTAGGGTCGCTCCTGTATACAGGTTGTAGCATCATCTTCATCTTTTTTTATCCAATGATTTTTTAACTGCTATTTAGAAAAGAATAAAAATACTAGTTGTACTATGATATAACCAGTAGTTTTTCACTGCAATAAAAAGAAATAAGTCTATTTGGGATTTACACCAACAATATTCATATTGTTTGAAACACTATGGCTTATACAATGACAGCATTTTAACCATCATAGCGTGATCTGTACACACGACACCCCAAAATCATTCAAATAAATTTTTCTATGAAAAATGTAGTATAAATATAAAAGTTATTTTTTCTTTGTAGTTTCAGAATTAGTCTTCCAGACTTAGTTCGATTTACTAACGCACTATCAATATATCAACATATTCAATTTGCATTTTTATTACAGTTTAATGTTCATACCACGAAGTATTTTAAAAATGTGAAACTTATTAAAAGCTTGTTTAGTGTTGCCACAAAAACTAAAATTTGAGTCCATTTCTCTAGTCATACAAAAATCAAATACTGTTCTCGTATATGCACTAAAACTTTTAATGATAACCACTTTAAGCAACAAAAAATTTTTCTGAAAAGAAAATATCAATTACTCATCAATTCCAATAAATTAAATCATATATATATATATATATATATATATTCATAAAAATAATAATATTATTATATTATTTTTATGAATATACAAGGTTACAATTATAGTTTAATCATTATTTAAGTAGTTGGTATCTTACCAGTATTAATATAGGCTCTAGTAATTGTATCCCAAATAATATAAATAAGACGTAAATAAGAATACTTCAATAGAACGACCTTTTAAGTTAAATAAAACATGCTCCCAAAGAATAATTTTATTTAAAATAATATACCTATTAAAAATAATAATAAATTATAAAAAATAATTAACAACTATGCTTTGGGTGTAAAAAATTTTATAATTTACTATTATATAATAGTGAATATACTATATTTGTAATTTTTTATTATTTTACATAAAAATATTTTAATACAAAAGATTATAAAGTTTTAATTAATTTAAAGTCATATAAGTTTATAGATATTTATTCAGATTTCTAGAGAAAAAAAAATATAGGGAGTTCAAATATTTTTGTGTAAATGATAAATTATTAGATATTGCACTTCCGGTTAATATGAATTCAATGTTCAAAAATGTTTATTGAGTTATAACAATTTACTATTAAGTGCCAACACATAAAGTTCATTTAATAAACTATATAGAAATTAATCTTTTAGTGTTACAGTATTCAAATGTTTGTTCAAGTACATGACTATGCTTTGTAAAATATTTATAATACTTATTTAAAAGACATATTTTTTAAATATTGGAAATTAAAAAACCCAGCACAGGGGGGTCGCGGCACAGTGGTGACGAGGCATAGTTGGATCAAGTATAATGATATCTGACAGTGATTAAAATCACTATCAAAAATAAACGCTTCGATGCAAATCTTTAGATAGTGTTTAATTTAAAAAAAATTGGTGTTTTATTCCAAAAGCTACTTGATCTGCTGGTTCCTTATTAATATCTCGATTAAGATAAAGTATGTCGAATGAAAAAGGGTTTATTAAAAAATACTATTTCTCATAAAAAAATTGTGTGGATCCATAAACTTTTCAATAAGTTATAGCATTATAAAGTTAAATATAATATAAATAATAAAATCGAGAATTTTCACACGAAAATAGCATTCAGTAGCCATTTTCGCCGTGAAGACAAGTCCAGAGGTCAAATTTTTTTTTTTCAAATTAATGTATATTACATTAGCTTTAATTTAAGATATATATAAAAGTGTCAGACCTTCCGGAACATTTTCAAAAGTTAAGTTGAAAAAGTTAATTTTTTGTGAAAAAGTTGTCATTTTAAAAATCCCCCCCTGTGGGCCGAAAAAAGGTCCAATTTACAAAAAATATATACCAAATGATAGGTAAAGACATCAAGCATCTCTAAAAAAAAAAATTATATTGATATGTTCATTTTTGAAAAAGTTACGGTAGTTTTTAGTAAAAAAAATTGAAAAAATGTCGAAAATTAGCGATTTTTAAATTTGTAATTTTTTTGGAGGTTTCCCCCATTTACGGGGAACGAGGGAAATTTTTTCAATTTTGAAGGGTAATGTCTTCGACTAGATACGATTTGTGATCTTTTGACGTATNTTGAGGGTAATGTCTTCGACTAGATACGATTTGTGATCTTTTGTCGTATCGTTGAAAGAAATCCGTTCGGTGAGAGCTGAGAAAAAGTGGTAACAGACAAAAAAAAAAAAAAAAAAAACACATCATAGTAAAACCAATACCTTCTCAGCTTCGCATCGAAGCTAAAAAGCATAATATCCATCAACAAATATTTATTGTAACTATTTGATATAGTGAAGTAAACTTGACATAATATTTCATAAGAAGTATTTTATTTTTGTTATTATTTAAGTTATAAAATAATTGTATTTTGGATATTGGGTATTTTAGACAACCTAGGTATATAGATTTGTTTTTTGTTTAAGGGAAACTATTGTGAATAGTTTTATTTATATCTTAAAATTACTTAGGTTACATGTAAGCCTGTTCTTCATAGATTAAAATATGCCCTTTATTGGTTGATTTGTATAAAAATGTTGTTAATTTAATAGTATAAAGGTTACAAATAATTACAAAAATGAGTTGAATGAAAATCTTGTTTAATGTAAGACCCTGTTAATTGTTAAACGGTGTAAACCTTAAACTTAATACTTTTCATTTATTTAAAATTTGAAGTATTGAAATATAATTCTCATTCAAATAGATTCTTTTTAACTTAAAATAATTGAAAAATTTAAATTATTGAGTAGCACAATGGAGAGATTTTCATTAAAAATCAACAGTTTTTTAAGAGATGGTATTTCAATGTATACAATGTTGAGAAATATATAAAATGCACCATTTTAAATATTGAAATACAGAAGTAATTTGTATCACATGTATGAATAAAAATCAATAAATAAGACGTTTTAAAATAAGCTAGAGCCGACTCCAAATAGTTGGAATAAAGGCTAAGGATATGATGATAACGACAATGATGTATGATTAAAAATGTTCAACATTTTAAGCTCATTGAAAATCTTGAGGTGTCCGTTAATAACTTAATAACAACATAACTAACGATAGTACTTTATTACAATAAATAATTTTGTATTATAATTATAATTAATCATAATACAAGATGCGAATATTTAATATATAATTTACCACATGTATCTATTACAATTACAATAAATGTAGTTACTAAAATGTATGATTATCTTTAAAAAAAATAATATATGCTATTATTAAAATTAATTAAAATAAATATTTATTATTTTACTCCTAAATTTAAATTAAATGTACTTACATTTTATTGAATTTTTCAGTTAGATATATATGTGAGAGTGAACAGGGAAAAAGAGCAGTCTTGACAAATTATCTAGTCGCTGTGAAAATGGCGAATGTCTCGAAAAACATAATTTGTAAAAAGAGTAAAACAATCGTTGATGATTTGAAAAATGTCACCAGTGGCGTATTTTGGGGGGGGTGTCCTCCATGTCTGGACACCCCCCGACATAAAAAAAATGCCTAATATATTGGTATTAACTTTTTTTTATACTATATTATATTTATTTATTACAAAATAAATGGTATTTTAAATAAATAACAAAATTGAAGATAATTTGATAGGATTCGACAACACTTATTTATCTACATTTTATCAGAGATTTCTAAAATTAATTGGATTTCATTGGGTCATTTAGATAACAAAAATACCCGTAGCAAAAATATANAAATTAATTGGATTTCATTGGGTCATTTAGATAACAAAAATACCCGTAGCAAAAATATAACAACAACGGAAATATTCTGAACTTGTAGTTCATTTTTAAATTTATTTTATAGTTTATCAGTTTAGAGAATTATAAACAAATAAGTTTAGTTACCCCTATTCAATATACCGCATTCATAAAAAATACAGAAAAAAATTTTTTATAATTAAAATAGTATTTAAAAAATAAATAAATTATAATAAACATAAAAGTTATGAAATTCTTTATGAATCGTCATTTAGTAAAATTAAAATTAAGTTGTTAAGATAGTAGATACGCTTGTTAATTTAAACATTTATAATTGGTTGACTTTTTAACTTAATTGTATCCATAACTGTATATTATAATATTTGTATATTCACATAACAAGAACATTAAATTATTTCAGTTAAGATAAATTTATATTAAATTTGAAATAATGTTACAAAGAAAAATAAGATTAAAATAAAATAAAAAAACAACAATTAAACATAGAAAAAGTAAAAAAATGTTTGGTAGTATACAAATAAAAATTTCAATTTATAGTTANTGTTTGGTGGTATACAAATAAAAATTTCAATTTATAGTGAATATTAAGAAAATTGATATAAAATACAAAAATAAAATTTCATTCATAAAAATATTAATAGAATAGCTCGCCAGCAATAATTTCATTTTTGTGTCTTAATCTTATAAAAGGCATAAAATTTGCATTTATTGGTGTTGTATCTCCTCGAGACATTTTTTCTGCCAGCTCAACAGTAAATGGCCCACAATCATGTCCATTGGTTTGGCGAGATGTCTCGCCTATTTGTAATGTCCATGTAGAAGCTTTTCCTTTTTTGTCCATCTCCCATTCAATTAAGAAATTTTTTAATACCATTGGATAGGGACCCTCATACGACTTAAGACTATCATATGATGTCACAGTCTTTTCAGGTATATTAACCACTGTCAATATCCAATGACTCTCATATACATTCATGGGCACAAAAAGTAATTTTATTGTGTGAATATCTTTTTTTATCCATCTTCTTACAGCTGGATAACCTCCTCGAAGATACGCTACAATAAAATCAGTGACAACTGCATAAACTTCACCTTCTGACCGTTTTACTATCATTTTAATGTACTCATTAATTGTGTCTGAAGTATACCATGATGTGGGCGATTTAAATGAAGGTGCATTATACTGATCAAGAGATTTTGTGTTCTGATCTTGCATTACTTCTGCAAGTGTAACCATATTTAAACATTTTTCATAAAATTAATAAAGTACTTTGTTGAACAGTTTACTATTATTTAGGTTTATTTAAGGTTTTGGAATGTGAAATTAAACACTTAAAATTACTTTTGTTTAAAACGTCCATGGACCCCCTTAATGACACGCCTCTGCAGAAGTTATATTAATTTAACTCGTATTATTATAATTAATTATGTTTAATAAATAATCTTTTTTTATTTAATTTTACATAAAATAAATAGATTAAATAACTAATTACCTTTTTCTTTCTCTGGTACTTTTATTACTTCAATAGTGGACAGAGCAAGTAAATTTACGTCATTCGGCGTATTTAAGGTCAAAGGATTAGAACTAACTTTTGGCTCTAAAATAATTTATGTTTAAAAATATTACATATTTGTTTCAAAAATCAAAACTTCATATTTTTTAAAAATGAATTATATTTTAAAAGTTGTATACTTTTTATGACTTTTTCATCTTCTTCGGATGAATTTCTTTTTAAATTTGGTCGAGCAGTAGTATTAGAAGATATCTCAAAAAGTTGTTTTTTTATTTCGGATTTTTTGCGTTCCAAATTTTTCTTATGAAAACTCTTAACGGATCATAAAAATATATTTAATTATATGATAAATTTATTTAAGAAATCTGCTTTAAGTCCAAAAAATGGTTTAGGGTATACCCTAAAATCTTTTTATTGAAATAAAGCATAATAAAATATACCTTTTCTAACAAATCAGCTGATATTAATAGCGGATTGTCTTTTGAAATTGCTATATTTTTTTTTTCTGTTGAATTTAAAATTTCATTTTTATATTTTTCATATTTTTCATTCTGAAAAAGTGTTCCGAATTCTCTTTGCTGCATCATATTCTAGGTAACCAAAGAGATATTTAAATAAACAAATAAACTATACTTAATATTATATTATTATCTTCGATAAAAATTGAATTTCCCATAAAAATCTAATAGAAAAAATAGCAGAATAATATTAAACATTATGTTACCGCATTTATATTAAGGGGGTTGATAGTTTATTTTATATTTTTGAATCAGACAAACCCCAATAACATAGCTAAATCGAATAAATATATTAATATAATTATAGTTACCAATTTTTCTGGAATAATTTTATCATTTTTATTCGTTTTTCGATACGTGCGTTTTTTTGGAATAATGGAATTTTTTATAGGATAAATATTTTTATTAATAATTGCTGCAAATTGAATATAATTTTAATAATTATTAATTAAATAATCAATTTCGAAAAAGGTTTTTAATATTAAAATAGTTAAATTAAAGTAAAGCGACTGAATTATTGTTATATATGAATAAGAGAACTTATTATTAATTTTTCTTATATTTTATATTAAAAAACTTTTTCTCTATTCGAAATAGTTAGTTTAATTATTAATCTTAATAGTGTTTACAGATAATTCTTCCATCTTTAGTTGACTTTTTTGATATTTGTCCTTTATTTGTATTATTTAAAACACAATTGGAATGCATGAAACGACGATTCCATATTTCTTCAACTCTGCGTATGACCTTATGTAAGTTTGATTCATTTGTTTGACCAAAAATATTTTTTTCACTTGCCATATCAATAACTAATTAAATAAATCTTAATAATTACACAAGACGATAGTTTATTTTTCACGGGAAAAAACGAAGTGAACTGAAATGTCGATAAAATCAACATTTACATCTAATTGTCAAGGAAACTTAATTGTAAAAATTCATTAAAAAAATGTATAAGCCAATTATAAATAAATTTAGTATAAACAATACTTATTTATTTTAATTGTATTATTGGTCAAAGAATACAATATTTTAAGAATAATACAGAGAATTATCAAAAAAAAAAAATATATATATATATTTTAAAGATATTTTGAAGAAAAACCTTTTGTATTTGTTTGTTTATTTATTACATTAGTTTACAAATGATAGAGATTTTTTTATGAAAGTTCAAGTGGAATAAATTTGATATCGGTTAACAGAATATTTATGCATATAAAATTTAATCTGTATGAAATAAAATATCAACGTTTGGATTTATTCTCTTACAACTATTAAAAATTTTGCCCATGTGAAATTGCTATTTCCATTTAGTTATTAACAAAAAACATCATGCCATGCGATTATAATCAACATAAAAATTTATTAAGTTGAATATATAATATAGTTTAACAATTTAATTAATAATTGAATTAATGACATAATAATTCTGATAAAAGAAAATAACAGGAGATTTGAATTAATTTTAACGACTTTAACAAATCGAAAATAACTTTAGGGTTTAACTACCTTATAGGTTTAATTATTATTTGCATTTTTAATGTTATTATTATTATTTAGATTTTTTTTTTGACAATAACGGTTATCTTTGTAACTTCAATATATATTAAGAAAATGACAAGTTATCCAAAAAAATCAAGGAAATTTTAGAGAAATATTAAGATACAGAGCCCAAGGAGATGACCGTTTAAAATCATTTTTGGAAGCTGAAGAAACAATAAAATATACAAGTGAAACACTTCAAAATGAAATAATTGAATCCTGTAATAAAATTATTTTAAATAAAATCGTAACAAACATAAATGCCCAAAGATGTTTCAAAATACTTGCTGATGAAACGGCCGACATTGGTGGAAGCGAACAAGTAACTTTGTGTGTTCGATATTTAGATGTTGAAAATATGATTATCAAGGAAGAATTCTTCAGTTTATGCTTACAACAGATACTACTGGAAAAGGTTTATATATTATTATTCAAAGTTTACATTCATTTGGTGTAGAAACAAAATACCTTAGAGGACAGTGTTACGATGGATGTGCTTCTATGTCTGGTCAATTTAACGGAGCTCAATCTCTTATTCACCAAAGTTATCCGCTTGCGACGTTTGTTCATTGTGCTGTTCATATTTTAAACCTTGCTATTTCTTATTCATCTTCTATACAAAAAACATGAAATTGATTAGGAACAACATCTAAAGTTAGAGATTTTTTCATATACCCAAAGCGAAAAGATGTATTAAAAAGTCAAATCGAAGAAAGTCAAAAATGTATAACTAAAAAATCATTAAAACAATTATGTGCGACTAAATGAGTTGAACGTTTTTATGCTGTCAATGATTTTCTTGAGCTTTTTGTGTACCTAATTGAATCGTTATTTATAATTTCGAAGTGGAATGACACTGAAACATCATCAAAAGCAAGCAATTTACGAACATCAATACTGGAAGGAGATTTTATTATTTGTTTACTTATTATAAATTAAGTATTTAGTTATGAGTTACCTTGTTTAAAACAACTTCAAAGAAATTAGCAGGTACACAGCATTGTAATTATCAATGGTAGTAAGGGACATTGTTGTGAGTTTATAAATACACTAACTGACAATACAGAAAGTATATCTATGATAGTCATAATTGATAATAAACAATCCGTGACTGCGACATTGATATCATATAAACCATTTAGCTACCTGTATTTGAATCATATCATCATGTGTATTATACATGTATATTAACTCAAAAATTTGAAACTTAAAATTTTTATATCTAATAAACTAATAAAGTTATATTAAAAATTCAAACGCCATTTACTATTTAATTAAAAATCCAAACATTTTATTATATTCAAAATATGTGTTCCCATTTAAAAGACAAAAAGACAAAGTTGACACCCTTCCAAGGCATAAGGGATGAACATAAAAAGTTTTAAATAGTTAATAATTTAAGAATAATATGTAACTAAAGAAAACCAAATATAATGTTTAAATTATATTTATTCTACAAGTAAATGAGTGGGTTATGATAAAAAAATCAGTCTGTATACTGTAATATAGTTTATCATTTGTAAAGCTGGAAGTAAAACGTTTTTGTAATGTTTTGTTTAATTGTAATTTCCTGATCTATTATTACTAGACCAGGAATTAAATATTTATAAACATTTTTGAAAACGATAGTATTATTAATTTTGCAAAAAGAAGAAAAACAAAATATTTTAATATATATGACGAAATGGAATGAATCGTAGAGGAGAGAGGACCTCAGGAGCACCGAAGGTAATCTTTTTTCGCGCGGTACGTTTATGACATTAAGTTTTCATTTTGTGTATTGTTTTATTGTGTTTTTAGTGTATGTTTTGCATTGTTTAATTATATCTATAATAAATACATTTGAGTTATTATTAAACTTTTATTACTTTATGTTAAGACACTAGGGTTGTTTCTTTTAAGATACAACAGTACCAAAATTTCAAATTTCAAATTATTTGTCAATTCCTAAAATAGTAATTAGAAAAATAGTAAGTTTTTTTTACGTCAGTAAACATTTCTACAATTTTCGTTTATGAGGTTCATTAAAAGTTGGACACCATCCGAGAAATCATTCAAAATACGCCACTGAATGTCAGTAAAAATTAAATAACAAATAAAAATCGCGCGAACTAAAACTGTTGGTCAACGGTTTGGTTATTCCGCCAAAAGTTCGTACGTTAAATTCGCGATATAGTCTCAATGAAAATATTTTATGACTATTATTTTAAAGTTTTTTTATTAATTTACTAATCAAGGGATAATATGTCTAATAACAATATAAGTGAATAAAACTATTTGAATGGCTATAACCGTTATAACGATTCTTTCATTATAATGAAAGAATTTTGGTTAATCCGTACGATTACTTTGAACATTAAACGGTCTCAGCACTTACTAAAAATTATTCGGTTATTTATTGAACGTTGAACTTTACCAGCACTCGTGGGTCACTTGAAACGACCGTGAATCAAAATAATGCTACTCGGGATCTTTCATTCGACATACTTTATCTTAATCAGGATATAAATAAAGAAATAGCAAATCATATGTAACTTTTGGAATAATTCACCAATTTTTAAAAAATGTTTAAATTGGACCATTTCCCTATATAAACGAGGGGGGGTCGAATCTAAAAAATGCATATAGAAAGTATAACTTTTTCAACTTAACTTTTGAAAGTGTTCCGGAAGGTCTGACACTTTTATTTTAGATTAAAGATAATGTAATGTACTTTATTATGAAAAAAAAAATTTCTGACTTTATTTTGTCTTTACTCTGAAAATGACGGAAGCGACGTACGGTTGCCGAGTCAGTTAAACTTGTGATTTACGAGCTTGGGTTACAAGGTTCCAATCCGCGTATGGTAAGGAATGTTTTGCATTTTTTCTTAATTCTTTTTAAGTTAGAATAAATTTTCAACTCCTTTAATTTTTATCTCATTTTTTTATGATTCAATAACTTTTATAAGTTAATTTTTTAAAAATTTAAAAGTTATTAATTCATATTAAAATTATTTTACTATATTTTAAGTTTTATCTTTGATGTAAAGCTGAGAAGATATTTTTTTTTGACTATCATTTATTTTCTCTGCTCTAACTTGACCTACTTTTTTCAACGATACGTCAAATGACTACAATTCGTATCTAGTTGAAGATACTACCCTTAAAAATTTGAAAAAATATTCTAATTTATCAATTAAACGATTACTTATCCCATGTTCTCCATACACACAATTAAAATCATTCATTTCTAATGTTTTCAAAATATTTATTGACGAATCAAGTTTGATATGATAGGTTTCAAATACAAAATTAAATAATTTTACTTTGTAATTTAATAATTTTTTTACTCTATTTGTGTGTGCTACTACTATACTATAATATTCCAAATTTGTTGGTAACATGTTGTTATATAAATAATTTCTAAAAAAAATGATTGTTAGTTTCTCTGAATTAACAATGGATTTTTACAATTATAATCAAATTTTGTTATACGCTCAATTGAGTAAATCTTTTTAACAACATTGTTTTGATTGGTTCATTTAGTTAAAGTAAATCATTAAAATTAATTAAGTTCTGAATATTTTTAAACACCAAAAGTTACTAGGAAATGATTACTATTACTTAGTTATATATAATGATAAAAATGCAAAATAATATTGAGCTACTTTGATAAATTTACTATAAATAGTAATTATAAAACTTCCTAACTGTATATTAATCTTAACGATACAATTTTTTTAATTCTCATTAAATTTTCCATTTAATGATGTCAATTTCAAACTTGCCAATTGAGCTAAAAGTTATGGTAAAATAAATTATTCTTTTTTATTATAAACATTCACAAAAATCAACTTAAAACGATTAAAAAAATTGGTTAAATATATAATTTTCCTTATTTTTAACATATTAATAATCAAAATCAGTATTAATTTAAAACAGTTTTTTTTTGTTCTTAATTATTTTTTAGCTTCGATGCGAAGCTGAGAAGGTATTGGTTTTACTATGATGTGTTTTTTTTTTGTGTCTGTTACCACTTTTTCTCAGCTCTCATCGCACGGATTTCATTCAGCGATACGTCAAAAGATCACAAATCGTACCTAGTCGAAGACATTACCCTCAAAAATTGAAAAAATTTTCCTCGTTCCCAGTAAATGAGGAAAATCTCCAGTAAAATTACAAATTTAAAAATCGCTTATTTTCGACATTTTTTCAATTTTTTTTACTTAAAACTGCCATTTTTTTTTTTAAATTAACCAAATCAATGTAATTTTTTTTTTATATAGATCATATTGTCTTTACCTTACATTTAGTATATTTTTTATAAATCTGATCCTTTACCTGCCCACAAAGAAAGGATTTAAAATGACATCTTTTTCACAAAAAATTAACTTTTTCAACTTAACTTTTGAAAGTGTTCCGGAAATACTGACACTTTTATAAATATCTTAAATTAAAGATAATGTAATGTACTTTATTATGGAAAAAAAAAATATTCGTACTTTATTTTGTCTTCACGGTGAAAATGGCTACCGAATGCTATTTTTGTGTGAACATTTTCGATTTTATATTTTTAATTTTATTATGCTATAACTATTTGAAAAATATATGGATTAATACAATTTTTTTGATGAGAAATAATATTTTTTAATAATCCTTTTTTCATTCGACATACTTTATCTTAATTAGGATATTAATAATGAACTAGCAGTTTATAAAGCTTTTGGAGTAATCCACCAATTTTTTAAAATTAAACACTATCTAAAGATTTGTATCGTAGCGTTTTTTTTGTGATTTTAATCACTGTCAGATATCATACTTGATCCAACTATGCTACGTTACCACTGTGCCGCGACCCCTCTGTGCTGGGTTTTTTATTTTTATAATATCTCTGTAAATATTACAATATTACATTATTGAATATCAATTTCATACTAAATTTAATTACTATAATTATTATGTATTCATATATTATAATTATAAATCGGGATAAAATTAAGGAAATAAGAGTTATGGTTGCTTTTGAAATAATCTACCAATCTCTTAAAATTAAAAACTATCTACAGATTTGCATCGAAGCGTTTCTTATGATAGTGATTTTAATCACTGTCAGATATCATCTATACTTGTCCCAACTATGCCACGTTCACATTGTGTCGCGACCACACTGTGCTACCGTTTTTTGTATAATATTCTTGATTTAAAATATACAATTAAATCTCATTTTTAGTATTTTCATAGTTATTTAGCAGTGTGTTTGTTACATAAGGCTATAGACAAATTGAACATTGTTTTGGCATTTGAAAATCAATTAATTAATTTATATTGTCAGATTTTATACTTGTATTTTTGAGTTCTAAATATGTAATTTAGAAAAAAAATTATTAGATTATATATTAGAACACCATAAACTTTATTATTGATATACAAATTAAATTTCCATAAATATATAACAACCATGCTTTCACAAGTTTACTAAATTATTGTATAGTTACAATTAAAAAAAAAAAATTGTTTATTATCTTTTGAACTTAGAAATAATATATATATATATCCTATAATATTTTCTATACTTTGTTATAATTGTATATATTTTTTAAATTTATTTATAATTTTTACACTGTCATCAAAGCCAACAAAAAAATTCTGATATTTATTTTCTAAAAAAACATTTTAAAATAACGAGTTATTTTTTATTTAGAATCACCATATTTCGCTTTTGAATACTAGAAAATGGATTGACTCGTGGACATCCACCTTCTCGTTGTAAAACTTCAACAACACTATAATTTGGCAACCACGACTGTGACAAAAAAAAAAAACAAAAAATTATAAGAACAAAAAAATGGGTTAACTTGTTTCAATTTACCTTGTCTCTAAGAGCTGTAGCTACCACATTCCTATTAGGTTCAGAATCATAAGCAACTGATTCACATCCAAAGTGTTCACAATATTCATGTACTAACTTACGTTTCTCATATTTCATTACTTCAAACGAATGACTACGTGAATTTTGTTTAGACTTAAATGAATATATATGATAAATATTAATAATTTCATCAAATAATTATTAGAAAAATAATACTTGTTTAGCATTTGTAACAAGCTCAGCAAGTTTTTCATGAATATAATTGCAAAATGATGCATCTTTTTTTGCAAAGTCTTTCATGAAATCTGAGTATCTAGGTGTAACATTAGGTGATAAATCTGGATTTCGAATTTGTAATGCTAAAGCAATGCGTCGGTTTCTCTCAATTTTGGTGCATTCAGAAGTGCATTCCAATCTAAAACAAAGGAAATTAATAATTTTATTATTATTGAAGCTTTGTGCAACAAAGCAGCAATCTTTTTTTTAATCCTAGTTTTTTATTTTTTATAATATATAATACATTAAAAATATATCTAGTATATAAAAAAATTGACTTTTTAGAAATATGTAATAAATTATTTTTCATAAAAAATTATTTATTAATATTATAAATTTAATACATTTTAAAAATAAAAAATAAATTTAAATAAGAGAGTACTAAATTTCCATGAAATGTCTCAATAATATATAAAAAAATTTAAACCTTAAAATCCTTACTAACATTTTAAAAGTTTTAATAGTTGACTTTGATACCACTATATTATCCAAAAAGCTCATAGATTGTGTTTGAAGCTGTAGACGATATTCATTTACTTTAGGATCAGAACATAATCTAGTTTCAGTTATATTTCCACATGGACAACTAACATTTACCTTGAAAAAAGTAATAAAAGTAAAGAAAGAAAATGCATTAAGTAAAAATTGAAAAATTTTTAGCTACTTAAATTTTAGTATATGATAACTAGAACTAGTATGTATTACATTAAATATACAAAACTGATTGTAGTAATTAATAAAAAAAATCTCTTTACATAAAAAAGATTATGACACAGTTTTGTTTTAAATTCAATTTATTGTATAGTATTTTAACATTGTGTAACAAATAAGAAATTTTCTTCAGAACTTAAGTTGTTTAAAATTTTTAAAAAACTGCAATGTTCTAATAATTAATATATATCTAAAATATTAAATATATAAGATTAATTAAATTGAACATGTTAATACATAAATATGTACCATTATTCTACAAGACTTTACTGGACATGGGCCAGTGTGGCAAGGTTTTGAACATGGATGACCACATTCTGTTTTTAATAAATTGCATGGTAACTGACATGGTTTACTATCACACGGTGCTGGGTGACAGGGTTTGATACATTTATGTAGTTTACATGGTAAAAGATTTCCACAAGGCATACCACATGACACATTCTTTATATGACAAGGAATAGCAAAACGTAACTAAACAGTATGTAAATTTAGAATAAATAACTATAACTTAATAAAAAAAAAAAATTTTTAGTTAATTTCACCTCATGACCACCATAACAAAGTTTTTCTGTAAGAGCTATACAAGGGGGGCATTGATCTTCGTCATGACAAACGTGTGTAGCTGGATGACCACATTCATGTTCTCTTGAACAAGGTAGAGAACAAGGGGGTCTACGTGTTCCACACCTTACAGGGGGAGGAATATATGTATTACCACAATGACAGTATAATGCTTCATAACCTAAAAAAAAATCAAAACAAAGAAAAATTTAAGTATACAATTATTTTAACACTATGCCTACTAAGTTTCTTAAACAATATAGATATATCGACAAAGAGCTGATTTCTTATAAGAATTTATCTAAGGGTACACTTTTTAAAAAATACATAAAAATTATAATATAACAATATTGATTTATAAAACTATGAATAATAATAACTTTTATCATAATTAATGCAAGAAGCAAAAATATATTCAATTATTAAAGTTTTAATTTATAATAAGTTTATTTATAAAATACATAATAAAAGTTTTTTTTATAATTTTCTATTACACCTTATATATATATAAACAAATTTTTATGACATGGTCCCGCCATTCGTCCACCTATAACAACCGTCGCCCTACTATGAGTATTTTGGTTTGACTGACCAACACCTTGTGCTATACGACACGGTGCAAAGTTCAGCAAGTGCCACACGGCCAAAGACGACCCGCCGCAAATGATACGTTGAGTCTTCTTCCAGTTGTTAAAATGACAACTTCGATGATGTACGCCATCAGCTCCAGTTGTGCGCACGACCAAACTCAACAAACCGATCCGCACCCGCGCACAGTTGCCATCAACACTGCTAATTTTTTGACGCCCGAGGATCATGCAGGATACCGCGTCGCCGACGCCAGGGAAAGTGCCACGATATTATGCCAAGATTATTATTAACTGTGTATGATATATTTTCGCACCTAAGTCGCTTTTCTATATATGTATATAAGTATACTAATTACTATTAAAATTTATATATTAACACGCTTCATTCTCATTAAGAGATATAAAGTGTATTCATTCCAATTACGAATCCGGTATTGTCATTTTTCGACACTACCTCCACATGCCGGGAATAGGTAATTTGCACGTCTGCTATCTTCCTTGGATGTGGTAGCCGTTTCTCAGACTCCCTCTCCAGAATAGAACCCTGATTCCCCGTTATCCGTTATACAAACCATGATATTGATAGTAACTACCATCATAAAGTCGATAAAGCAGAGAAAAAGTTCAATGGAACAGTACATGAAACTTAATGAAAACATGATCGAGTTCATAACGATTATAGTCATATTACATACTATAATATTTTAACCAAAAACATACATACCATAGCTATTTATATAAAATAATATAGTTAAAAAAACTAAAAAACACGCTTTTACTTACTTGAAATGTAACAGGTATTACAGCTACCTGTATGGCACATTCTATCACATCGGTGTTGACGACAATTCAACAATCCGTTACAAATTCTATCACAAATATGATCTTGTGCATTGCAACAAAGAATAGTACACCTATGTTTACCACAAGACAATATCTGGAAAAATCATTTTATTTTTTTATTTTTTGAAAAAATGTCTAATTTTTTCAAATATTTGAGGTTATAAGTGAAAAATTAAAAAGTAATTAATGGGTGATAAATCATGAAATATGTGAAACTTAAAAGTACCTTCTATACATAATTATTACTTTAAGAATAATATATAAATTACTTAGTTGTCCTATTAGGCCATACCCTTTATATGTTTAAAGAGTCCTGTCTCTCTGTCAAAATTAAGTATTTCTTTATGGTTATAGGTTTTTGACATTTTCTTTTCAAGGAAAGGATTTTTCTCAATTTAATAATAATGTATTCATACCTAAATTCAAAACTCTAACACTAATAACATAATAATTTAAATTATACCTTATTACATTTCTTTTTACAAGTAAGTTCACAAGTAACAGTTGCACATTTTATTTCTTTTGATCTATTTCCACAGCGGCATATATATCTAGTTTTTAGGTTACATTTAGAACATGGACCTTCATGACATTTTTGTTTACACAAATGAGGTGATTCTAAAATTTTCAATGCTATGTTGTTAAAAATATAAAATTATTATTTGCAATATTTTACCTGGTTGACCACAACCTAGTGGTTTTTCACAAAGCTCATTGCACGTTGGGATTGGCAATGTACAAGATTTTCGATTATCAAGCTCATCCTTGGAGAGTAATCTCTTACCACAAGGACATCTGTCAGCAATTAGTTTAGCACACGGTTCACATTGCCCCATATGACACAGTTGTTGACAAACATGATTATTACATGAAAGTTTTTTATTACATGGTTTACTGCAACTGTAATAAACAACCATTGCATTTTCTCTAGTACATGGCACTTGTCTTTGTGAAGAGCCACAATAACACACTGAAATTAAAAATAAATTTTATAATTTATAAGTTTAGCATTTGGAACATGTATTTTATTGTTGTTACAGGCAATTAAGGGTCATTGTTACCTCCTACAAAGAGAAAGTTTCTTAATTATTTTATACAACTAGATAAATTTTCTATAATCTAATATTTATGGGAGCTGATTTTAGATCAGAATGCATCAGAGATTGATACCTTATAAACTGGACTCCACATTGTTTTTCTACTAGGAATAAACACACAAATTTTATTTTAGATTTTAATTTTTGCTGGCGAAAAATTTTTTTTTCAAATTGTGCGACTTTTTTTTTAAATTATTTTGGTAGCGTCCTCTTATATTAAAAAATTATAAATCAAAACTATTAAATTATGCTGGATATTAGTTAAGGACACTTTAAGTGTCCTTAAGATATTAGTTAATGTGACACTTTATTTTGAGATTGCCCTAAACAGAAGATTAGTTTGCTACCTAAAGTTTAATTTCTGTATACTAGGGAGGGAGATGATTGTAGTGATTTTTTGAACGAAGGACATGAAGTTTTTTGCTGCTGTAAAAACATCTGTATATTTACTCATCCATATATCTATACTCGCAAACATAGTTTAACAATACTTGTTAATAATTCATTATTCCCATTTATACAAAAAGAATTAAATGCTATATCATACAAACTTCAAATGAAAATGTATTAAAATAAAGTCTTTATTATATATGAAGTATTAACATATCAAACAATACTGAGATCATAATTTGACAATATAATATTTTTTACAATTAACTAATAATTTAATATATACTTGATGAAAAATATGAAAAAATAAAATACCTTTCTGTATAAACCAAATTTATAAGTAGTAAAAAAAAAAGTCATAAAGAATTACACAGTGTTATATATAACAATTATACATGAAAAGTTTTTGATGAATTAATAAGAAATGAATTGTTAATTTTTTATTTTGTAATAAAAAAAAAGTAATATATTTGTAAATATTTAACAAAATGTAATACTTTAGAGTATTTAAATTATTACTTTGTAATAGGTTTGATAAGTTAATTATAAGTTACTTATTTAATAGGAAAAAATTCATTTTAAAAATATATTGACACAAAGAAAACAATCACATTTTGTTGAATTACTTGTATTTTTAACATATTTTGTAATACTCAACATTAATATTTTACAAAAATAAGCAAAATTAATTTTAGTAGGAAGAACTTGAATCAGATAAAGATGAGTCTGAATTACTCATAGATGGCGGATTACTGGAACTACCTTGAGAACTACTTTGATCATTGAAACTTTGCCTACTATCTGAACTTTCATGACAAACAAAATCATAACCACTATAATACGAAGAATTAGTATTACTTTCACTATCACTATCACTTCCCGGATAACTATTTTCTATTTCAGAACTCATTTCATCATTACTACTAGTTCTTTCTCTCGATGTGTTCATAGCAATATTGCGTATTCCACTTTGTGCACTTTGTACACTTGAGTCACTGCAGCTATTGACACTTGAAACACTGTTTTCATCATCATGTGAATCAGTGCTGTTTCCATTTTCTAAGTCTACTTCCATAGCACTACTGTTACTTTCTGAATGATCAGAACTAGAATAATTATCATAGTTTGAATTTATTGATGAGTTATCATTATTAAATTGCATCCTCCATAAGCTATCTAATGACTGATTATCATCAAAATCATCATTATCATCAGAATCATCATAATCTTGAGTATCATTTTCGTCATCAAAACTTACATGACTATCATTATCATTAGCTTCCAAGTTATTCATGACTTCAATTGGATCTATACCTAACATTCGTAGCTCTTCTTCATGAACACCACCAGGTAAACTACTTCGAGAATGATTAGCCAAAACTAATGGTTCCAATGGTTGCATCACTGGATTGTTTTCAGAAGATTTAAAAAAATTGATATCTAAAAAAAAAAAATTAGTTGAAAAAAAAAATCTAATAGCTAAAATTAGATTAATAACATATTAGGCGTTCTTTACGTATTTATTTTAAATTAACATTATGAATATAATAATTTTAAGCTAGAATGGCGTTTTTTACAATTTTACTTAGAAATTATAATAATGTTAAGATAACTATAATTTTATAAAAATTAATATGATTTTTATTTATATAATTATGGATATAAATCTTGAGTGACGCCAAATAAGGGGCTCAAATAAAATTTTCACTTTTACAGAAAATGGTAGCTATTTACTTCTTTATTTTGCCAATAATAACATACCACTTGGATGGCCAAAAATATTTTTGGTTGGAGTAACTATAATTTAAAAAAATTTGGGACTAACCCCTTTCCTATGTCTATGGTTTCTACCAAGATTTTAACCAAAATTAGTTACAAATAAATTACAATATATGTTCAAGAGTGAGAGAATAAAAAGGGAGGTATAAATAATGTGCCATCTTAACCTATTAAATTCAATATAAAAGATTAATTAATTATATTTTTTATATTGGAACCATCAGCAAGTCAAAATTACTATTTAATTAAAATTTTCAATAACTTATATGTTTAAAATAAAAAACGCCTAATAGTTCAATATATTAGTTTATCAATTTTTAATAAATACTTACCCAATTAGACCTTAACTATAAGTACACTCAATGACACACTCAACATTTAGTGAATAAATAAAATACGTAAAGAACAACCATGAATATTGTGTTGTATTCATTTAATAGTTGACCATTTATAAAAACAAGAAAAAAAAAATCGACTAATATATTTTATAGAATAACTTAAAAAATTTAATCTTTTTTTTATATGAAATAACTTAAATTATATTGATTATTGTATAATAATACATCATTAAATTTTATATAATTCTGTACATTTCCTCCCAAAAAAAAATTTATTGAAAAAAGGCTAAATTCCATTCCCTACACACCTCTCTCAATGTAGTAATATCTATTTTGTGGCTAAGTTTAAAAACTTCATGCTTACATTCATGAGCAACAATAATCCTTCAATTTGTATTGTATTTTTTTAGGAGGAAGTTGAACATTTCTTCACAGTTAGATTTTTATTAAAGATATAATTCTTTTTTGCTGGCTAAAGCCAATAAAGTACCTATTTTTCATTCACTAAAAAATCAGAGTATATGATTTCCTACTTTGCTACCCCCAAATGATGCTACTACCAGTTAGACTGTTTTGATTAAATAACAATTTTCAGATTTTTCCTTTTTCTAACATTATAAGACCTACTTTAGTACCAAATTTCACATTTCTACCTTTATGGAAAACATAAAATAAAAATAATAAACACAATAAAATTGAAAACTTTGAAATTCTCCTATTTTGAAATTTTTCAACATTAAGAACTAAATTTTTAAGTGTTCTAAACTTAAACTGTATTTTGAATTTTAAAAGTGTACCTTGAAAAAAAATATATTTACAGAAATTTTAAAAATTTGTTCAGATGTGTAAAAATACATTTTCTTTTATTGTTAACAAAAAATAGAAACTTTAAGCATATAAAACATTTATTAGGAATATTACACTTTTTATCATTTTTTAACACTTAGAACTTTTCACAGTTCCACTCATAATTTTAGATTTAAAATTTTATAATTTTAAGTAATTTCTTAATTATTAATTTATTATCTTATATAATAAATTTATAACTAACCCATTCATTTAAATTTATCCTATCTAGCTTTTTTTTTTAAATAATCATAAAAATTAGATTAATTTTGTCATAAATAAATTCTTGTTCCAAGTTCATAAAATCATACTTATTATAGCTACAAATAATTTTATAAATATTCTAATAAACATTAAGCTGTCAAACTCCAAGCATTTAAATCTCTATTTCCCAATCTACTAACATCATTTCATAAACTCAAAGACTTTACAAGTATCCAGACAATGATAAAAAAATATTCTTCGAAATTAAAATTTAACTATATCAAATCATCAAATTATTTTGATGTTTTTATTTTAATAAATTTAAATGCAACAAAAATGTAATAGGTCAAGGATTCCTAGAATATACATTAAAATTTAACTCCAACTACTCAAATTAATAATTAATCTCACAAGTTGTTAAGTATGGACATACAATTTTAATTATAAATGTAAATTTTCTTTTCAAAATATTTATTGATCTGTTATGAGTGTATGGTGAAAAACCCTTGATAAGTTTAAAAATCATAACCCGGGTTCATAATTTGTAGTAATAAAGAAAAAGCGTTAATTTAACTACTATAATAAGTAACTAAAAATATTGTTTTTAGTGATTTAATAACATCAAATAGAATAAAATTTGCAAAAAAAAACAAAACTAGCATAATAGCAGCTCATAAACTTCAAAAACATATAAAACTTTGTATTTAGCTTATTGGTTTTCTAAAGCAAATTTAAAGCTTACATAAGTATTCCTAGTACCTTTCTAAAAAATATGTAAATACTAGAAATTATGAACTCGTATCATAACAGAAATACACATCAATAACTATTTAATAACCTTAAAATCTTAACATAGTATTTAACAAACATTGAGCAGTAATTTAATATCTTTATAAAATACATTTTTATTATTTAATTATATCAAGCTTAGAAATTGGCAAACATAGATCATCAATATATTATATAGTATAGTGTTTATATGTTCACTCTACAAAAACATTAAAATTAAATTTTGCACATTTTTTTTTCTTAATTAGCTCTTCTATATTTATAATTTAATATCCAGAAATATTACTGGTCCTCACTGAGAAGCACTCTTGTGGAAGCCCAGGGTTATTTACATAGTAAATTATATATATATATATAATTAAAATATAGAAAGAATTTAAAATTTAGTTGTTATTTCCAAAACAAAATAATTCTGAGAAAATGTGTTGCAAAAAATGATTATTGAATACTCTAATTTGTATAATGTAGTTCATAACTTAAAAAAAGTTTGTATTTTATATTTTACATACCTTGAAGACAGTTTTTATTACATGGATCACAGTCTCCAGCATGGCATATTTTTTCACAAACATGATTTTTGCAATGTAATTGTTTTGAGCAAGTATTTTGACATGACAATGGAGAAGATTTCCCACATTGGACATATACTTTAGTCTTTCCACAGCCACAATTTCTAAAAAAAATTGATTTTTTATACATTTTCATCAGTAATTTTTCTAAAGTTAATATTTTACCTTTGTATTTGGACTACACAAGTAGGACACGGCCCTGGATGACATAACAGAGTACATTTATGATGACAACTATATGTTTCATTAGAATTTTTTTTTTGCTTTCCACAGACTTGACCACATGAATGTGGTATATCTACATTATTAGAAAAGGGATTTGGATAGCTGCCACAAAAACACATATAAACTGGTTTTCCTTTAACTTCATTTTGACAAGCTGGACACCTCCAATTAGTTCCTAATAATGTTATGTATATATTAAATAAAATAAAGATATTATTATTATGATAAAATTATAATAAAACTAAATTAAGTCCCACAATACCTTAACCTATTACAAATTGCTTTAATATTTTTTATTGGAAAAAATGTGCTTTTTTAAATTTCATGTACATGGAACTACTTTTTAATTTAAAATTTTTCATCAAGATTTTTAGTTCATACGAGGTTTTATTTAAATAATTTCTTTATGCTTATTAAAAACATATATAGAATAACAATTAATAGGAATAATTTAATGTAAATTGGTTATTGGTCTAAAAGGTTATTTGAAATTTTTTATTATCAAACTACAGACATATAAATGTTTAAATAAATATTATATTGACAAAATTATTAAAAAATAAGTGCAAATGACATTTTTGTAGAGTCTGTCATATTGGACAAAGTAACTTTTCACATAACTTTTTAGTATGTCATTGATGACTGATTAAAAATATACTAATTTAATATAATAATTTTTTTGTTAATATTAGATTACATTTTATAAAGAAGTCAATTTATAATGATTAAAAAATTCTTAAATACATTTAGAATTTACCATTATATGATTTCAAAAACCAAACCATAATACATTTTAAGTGAAAAATTTGATAACAATTTTGACAACTCCATATTGGTTCGTCATTTGCTGTTTGTTCATAACAAACCACACAGTCTGCTTGACCACTATTTAAAAGGTCAATTAAAACATCTCTTTGCGATAAGTTAGCTAAAAATAACAATATTAAGCAATTATAGTTTTTTTTTTTTGTATGCTTTTATTAGCCCATTAAGGGCCATAGCGGCCTCCCCCAAAGGAGGAGGTTTCTTAACCATTTATACTACAGAATGGATGGTTAGTCCATAAATAAGCAATTATAGTACTGAAAAATATTATTATTTGCTAACTTACAAGTATTAGAGGTAGTTAATTCAGTAGTAACTGTTTTATCTTCAGAACTCTTTGTACCGTTTTCATTACTATGAAATAATTAAGTATAAATAGGTGTGTAGTATAATAATGAAATAAAAAAAAGTATTTGGGTTATAAATTTATAAATTTGATTACATACCTAAAGTTACTCAAAGAGTTTCCATAAAAAGTCATCGATATGATTGGTTCATCTTGTACTTGAATATCAGGTATATCATGACTTTCAACTAAAAAAACATAATATACAAAATAAATATAATTAACTTCTATGGACAATTTACCTATAAGACTAAAACTTTTCATGATATAATTGACACATTCTGCAGACAAATGGCCAACTTACAAAATATAGATTTAAAAAAAAAACGAAAATAAAAGTTTTCAATACTTTTATTGTTAAATAAGGTATAGAGGTTGTAGTTTTGTTAGTAGAAGAATTTATCCCCCTAAAATAAAAAATATTTATATGCTACTATATAAATCTCTGAAAAAAGTTGTACAGATTTGAGATACTTCAAAGTGGCTTAAAAAAAAATTAATAAATGCTTATAATTGTACCCCCTATTTATAACACATACTCTACCTATGTTACATATCCTCTCTATGTATTAAAATTTTTTTATAACTAAATAATTACTCATCCTAAAATTTTTATTGTCCCAAATCATTAAAAAGAAATAAAAATATGATTTTTAACAAAGTTTAAAAATGCATAAATTATATAAAAAAAAAAATACAACAAAATGTTTATTGTATCAAAAGTAATTAAGAGTTGTCAGTTTGTTCCATCAGTAAAAATTTTATATTTCAAATAATTTTTGATAGAAACTGGTATAAAAATTACACAATTGAAAACATACAATAATAATAACAATGATAAATTTTCTCAGTATGGATACAATAAGATAAAATTTTCATTACAGATATAATGTAACTAGGAGATTATTATAAAATAATATTTGTAAAAAAGGCATACCAATCAATTAGCTATTTGTCTGGAGAATTCATAAATTTAATAACAGAAAATTAAATCAATAATTGATTTAATTTTCTGATAATTATTTTTAATTATTAAAAATAATTATCTTCTTGAGAATTAAATAGACAATCTAATTTAAAATAGTTAAGTTATATTTTCTAAAACTATGATCTTAGAAAATATAGAATGGTAAACAATCGCTGCAACAACCTAACCCTTAAATTATTTTAAAATACCTGAAGGAACAAATTCTGGTGCATTAGGAGACAGATTTGATGTACTTTGTAACCTATTTGAATTACCCAAATGATCAGTTCTTTTTCTGCTATAATTTCTAGGCATCTTCCGATAGATAACTTAATTTAAAATACCTGTAAATAAATAAATAAAATAAAACTGTTAAAATAGTAGCTAACTAGAAAAATGTTATAAAAAAAGTATTATCACTATTTTTCTATGCTCAATTGGTTTAACAAATTTAAAAAATCATAACCTCCAAAATTCAATTCAACAAAAATATTGCAGTTTCCTTGTAAAAACATATATATATTAATTATTTAAAAAGCACATACTTAAAAGAAATAATATTATCATCACAATTTTGAAATTAGTTCCATAATAATCCAATGACATATTCTATGAAATTTAAACCTAAGTAAAACTGTAAAATGAAATAACAAAGAATGGTTTGAAAGTAAACAAAATACAATTTATTTTGCATAGTAGTTTTATTTATTGAATTAAAGACACTCATAAACCCAAAAGATTTTATTTCCTAAGGTTAAGTTAAAACATAGATTATCGGTGTCTTAAGCAAAAAAAAACTACTTAAATCGTTTAAATATTCTTGGTGTAGTAATAATAACTATAAATATATGTATATATATATATTTTAATTATAAAATTTATTAACTTAATTAAAATATAAAAATGACTGAATGGTTATTTGTAAAGGTAAAATACTCACCAATTAAAATTTCTTACAGATTTCGTGACATATTTTACTCATAAATGACTTTGATCGGTTTATATAATATCCAATTATCACAAAAAATATTATAACATTGATAATATACTCACAGACCACATAACTGGTCTGTGTTAATGTGAAAAACCAGGGTAACAACATTTACAATAATCAGTTACACTAGTTAATTTAATTATTTATATATTAATAATTTATGATGACAAAAAATTGTATTAGTAAAATTACATCTAGAAATTTTTTACAGTTATTAATTTTAAAATCAATGACATAGCAGAAGCAAATACAAAAAAGGGCTAATTGAACTATGACCTTCCAAAATTAAAATTATTTTCTAAAAAAAATTCTGTTTTCTGTGTTGCAAAGGACTTTGTTCCAAAAAGAATGGATCCTAGAATAAATTATTTTTGCAGTAACTAAGATAGAAACTAATTTCATAAAAATTAATTCACGAGAGACATGAACAAATAAGTTTTTATGAGAAACATTTAGGAAATTTAAAATTCTTTTAAATATTAGTATTTCTAAATTTTTTTCCTTTGTTTCTAAGTGTTACAAATAAAAATGTACTTTAACATTGACGATTAGCAATGAATACTAGGCGAGATACCGAAATAATATTATAAGGCCCCTTGTAAATATGTGGACCTACATTTTATGTTAGATGTTGTCACTTTTAAGTAATTATAATATTTATTTATGATAATTTATTATGATAAAACAATTAAGAATAATATAATACTAATCTAAATTCATGACTTACGCAATTTATAAAATAGCTCAAAATAATAGGTAAAGTTAATTTATAAATAGTCAGAAACCGTTTGGTTTGGCTAAGTATCTATTTGAGACAATTTTTAAGGCAAGATAAATTTACATCACACGTTATGTTATTAATATTAGGGTTCTTATTTTCTGTGTCGACTAAATTTGGTTAATTATATAATTTAGAATGAATTTTAAATACAAAAGTGGCGATGGAAAAATAAAATTATACAGGAAAATATTGTTGTTGGTGAGTGGTCAGATATGTGGGGTGAATGCGTTACGACAGTCTAATCTCAAGGCCATAGACGACAAGATACACGAGAATAATAACACGTTGCACGTGGAGAATTACAAACAAACTTACAACAATCAACAGTGCTCGAATTGGGGGGGTGCGCAGATGGATGGAGCTCCTCTAAATTTTTTTTATATTATTTTGCGCACCCCAACTACTTTTTTTTATTAGTACGGGAGGACGGTGGAAAATACGACCGCATTATTTTTTTAAATATAGATTTAAATTGTGATCAATTTTACAATTTAAAATATTTTGTAATAAAATAATTTTTAGCTTCGATGCGAAGCTGAGAAGGTATTAATTTTACTATGATGTGTTTTTTTTTTTTTTTTTTTTTTTTTT